AAGAAAATGAAAAGAACATTTCATTGCATGTAGAACAAAAGAAAATGGAAAGAACATTACCCTTGCATGTTAGAAAGTAGAATAGAAGTGCATGAGACTTAATGCATGGTGCATGTTAAATGATGTAATTGGGTTTAGGTGTCATTTACGGGTAAATGACAAATCGGTTAGGGAGGATTGTGGCACCTTGCATTATTAGAAATATTCATAGAAATATGATTTAATTTTTCTTACTCAGTTTATTAAACAGGTTGTTAATTTTTTTTTTAAAACGGAAAATAACTGAGTTGAAAATAATTCACTAAGAGTGTACTAGACGATCCTAAGGAAAGAAGAAGGAAAGAAAGGAAAAAGGAAGGAAGGGAAGAAAAAGAAAGAAAGAGAAATGTATGACGATGACCCAATTGAGGGTGGAGATAGGAGTCAGAAAGAGATTTAGGTCAGCGTCTTGGCCGATTTTTAAAAAGTCATTTTGATAAGAGTGTCGGTCAGAGCACTTGGCCTACTTTTTTGCGTGGAAAGACTCTTTTTAGAACAATAGAAATGAAATTTTTAATCAGGGAAAAATTTTCTTTGGGTTGAGGGGAGTGACCGGTGGAACGATATACAGACCTGTTAAGAATTGGACACCCACGTTAATAAAGTAGAGACATTTCAATGTAGATAATTAAGATTTTCGACTATCAGGTAAAACAAAGAGGTAAAAAAGAGGGACAATTGCTTTTGACTCACAGAGGGCGCCAAGAAGGCGGAAAAGACCCTTTCTAAAGTCAAGACTAATTAGCAGCGGGCTGTTTAACAAAGTCCAGGTGAGAGAAAGCCAAAGATTGTCATTTTGCGTACGTGCAAAAAGGGGCAAAATTGGATTTTGTTTTTTTTAAACAAGAACGATGTAACCACGCCCGCAAACAGAGGGGAGAGGATGTTCGATCAATAACAATTGGTCGAATACGATCACGTGACCTGCGGAAGAAAAGGGAAAGAAATGTTCGACCAATAACAATTGGTCGAATACGATCACGTGACTTGCGGAAGAAAAGGGAAAGAAATGCTCAATCAGGAACGATTGGTTGAAAAGCGGTCACCTGACATACGAGAGACTAAGAGAGATGGATATGCGCCTCCCCACCAAAGGCACTATGAGGAAGTAGGGGCGAAAACAATAGCGATAATGGAGAAGACAGAATTAATGCAGTTTTTGGAATTATCGAGAAAACCCTGACGCCGACAGACCCACCCCAGTTTGTTGCGGCGTCAATATAAGCAGGACCCCAGTCGACAGAAATCAGTTGAGTTGGAGTTGGAGTTGAGAGTTGGACCGCGGGCAGGGATAGAGCCTGAACGCGGCCATCAGGCCCGATTCACTCGCCCCTTTGCGGGCAGAAGAATCCTCAGACAAGAAATCCTTCCAGCCCAAGTCGAAGACAGAAGAACTTCCAGCCCAAGTAGATGAAGAAGAAGATTGCCTGAAAGCCTGAGAAGAATTGGAGCTGCAGACAAGCCGAAAGTCGATGAGAAGTTAAAGTTCATCCCCGGACGGCAGCGAGAAAAGAACCCTCAGACAAGAAGAACTTCCAGCCCAAGTAGAAGAAGAAGAAGAAATACAACTCAAGTCGGAGAGAAGAATCAACTGCGAATGATCGATAGAAATTATCCCCAGTGTCGAACTGAACCACACTCCGACATACATACATGATTCTAGAAAGTAGGTAATTCGACATTTTCCTATTGTGTGATAGAAGCTTGGTGCCATAGTCCACAGAGCGGGTCGGGAATTGAGAACAATTTTGTTTTTATGTAACGGACTTTAAGATATAAAAGGTTGTTACCCTTTTTATCAGCAATTTTGTTTGGTGTCGTGAGTTTTTATTTTATTTGTGTTTTGCCACCCCCGTCGGACTCAACTTGTATCGGCCCCGATCCCTGCTGGTCCCGTCTGTCTAAGATCTAAACACAGCGTGGGTAGACAGACCGGAGATCGGTATAGTTGCTTTAGTGACCAGGTATTGGAAGCGAGTCGGAAAAGGCGAGGCTGGTGATCATCTGACTAAAAGGGTTGGAGCGGCACGCTTGGACCCAGGAGGAGCGACCAGGAGGAGCGACGTCACCGTTGGCGCCGTAACCAAAGGATCCGACACTGGGCCAGGTGTGTAACCGTCACAACCAGCTAAAGTGAAGCAATTTTCCCTCAAAAATATAACATTTGATGGATTATTATGTATTTTTGTTAACTAATTCCAGACAATTTTTGTTCAATGGTCTCATAGAGGATTCTTCAAATCCCATCCTCACTTTTTAGGTGAGTTAGTGATATTTCTTTATAGATCCAGGGTTTTTGACATTCCAAAATTTTGTAAGCTATTCACTTTCATTCATCATCACAACCCATTTCAAAAAGGGAAGATCAAAATATGGTAGTTTTTTTTCTGAACTTATGTGGAAATTAAACATCAAATTGACTAACATAACCAAGCTGGTACAATTGATTTTCCACATTTGGATTTTTTTGATATCTTCCAAGTTTTATAGCAGCAATTATTCTGAAGTAATGATTTGATTTCTATTAACTTCAGCTGGTTTACCCAATTCTGAAGCATTGTTTAGTAAGTAATCTTCAGTATCAAACTCCAAAATCACTTTTGATATGTTTGATAAACTGCAGTACCTTCTCCATAAACTTCATAAATCTCTTTTGCATTTGAATTGTATGTTCACTTAAACAAAAAAATTTAAATTTGTTAGTTTTTCAATGCACATTATGACAGCTGTTCCAATACAGCCAAAAGCAATTTTTTCAGTATAGTTAAAACTGATGACAAAAACATCAGCACTTTTGATGAACCCAATGTATTAAAAAGATATTTATTTACGTTTTAATGTTTGTCATTTTTGGTGTCACTGAATAATTTTCCTCTTCAATTTTAAACATCTGAATTACTTTGTGTTCCTTTTATTAACTACTAGCTGAGGTATCCAGCATTGTATAACTGCAATCCTTGTATACCCACACTCCACTGTTGAGAAATGTCTTCCTGCATTGATGCTTGCACGCATCATCTGCTCGTATACTAAGCTACTCCTCCTCATCTTTTTACAGTATGTCCTTTGCAAGTGTTTGATTGTTCTTAATAAAGGAATTCCATTGACAAAACAAGGTCATTGCTCATGTTTAAATCGTTTCAATGTTTTAGCTATTCAGTAAATTTCCTATGGCTGTAATAACTTTCAAATAGTATGGCATTGTTCATGAATCTAATAATCAGGTATGAAGCATCAGACCTTGATTCAACTGCATGTGCAAACGCATGAATGTCCCCCTCCTTCTTTGCACATTTACTGTAAAGCTGGGGTTAATAAGAGGTTCTTTGGGAAGTTTTATCTTTTAACACTTCAATAATTCTTCTCAAACAATTTTTGCATCAAAGGTTGTTTGAATGCCAATTTATGATAGAATCATGGAGAAACTATTGGCTAAATGGCAAAAGCTGATTTTGGACCTAGTTTCTTGCAAATTTCGTCCACTTGACTGAAATAATCTAAACCAAACATTCACGCAAGACAATTTGTATGTCATATGTAATTTACATGGTAATTTGGAAAGCATTGGGTGAAAAACCAGGGAGTTATGGTTGAAAAACGGGCTTTTTGAACAGTTGTTTTTTTTTTTGTTTTTTTTTTGTGGTTTTTTATTATATGCGGGGAAGCGAGCAGGAAAAACCACATTATCTTATTTCTTGCATGATAGCAAATTTTTTGCAACTGTTTGAAGAAAATCTGATATAAAATGAGAAAGTTATTCAAGTTTTTATTTTAAGTAGTATGAAAAACCCAATGTATTTTTTTTTTTTTCAATTTTTTTGGTAAATTTGTGGATGTGCATAATAGCTTACTTACACACACAGAGACATTTTCTGTTTTATAAATATCGATGATTCTGCTGTTCTAGTTGCTGTGATGATTTATTGTGGAAAGAAAAAAGGACATTTTTTTTATTTTTAAAATTACTTCAATTATATGAATTATTATGAATTTATGCTTCATTTCAGTTAAGATGTTTAATTTATTTTTCTTCAGTTTGAACCTTTTCTGGCTTTCAGAGTTTGAACATAAATTTTCCAATGTTCAAAGTCTTCTGAGCACTTCATAAGCCATTATCAAAGAATTTTTTCTGGGTTAATAAGTTTGTGTCTCTAGGTATGCATTGTTTCTTTGTTAGATTTTGAGTGTCTTTTTTTTTTTTTTTCAAGTGTTGATGTGTGGCTATTAGGTTTTTTTTGTTCTTACAAACTTAATGTCTCAATAACCAATTTTTTTTTTACCAGAGCTTGTATTGCAATTTTGTTATATTACTGATTCCCATATTGTATTCATTTCTATGCTTGGCCAGCTTTGATTTTTATCTTTGATTGAGTTATTAGTCTGGTAGTGTGTTTTTAGGTTATTATTCTGAAAATCTAACATAAAACTATATTGTTTTGGGTGTATGGCAGCATAACCTTATCCAAGCAGCATTTTTCAAACTTCAGAAGCTGTTGCCTCATCTGATTATTTTAAGTTTATATACTTGTATGACCTCTGTTCAAGTTTTGGGTGACAGACTTAAGCATAATTACTTCAATTCTAATAGAAAAATATTAATAATTTATCAACAAATGTGTTGAAATGCAGAGATTATAATATTTCTGACAAAATATTATTTAGAGGATTTAGTTAAAAAGGATATTTTAAATTATTCCTGTCAAAACATCATGTATTTTAAAAGGGCATAAATTGTATACCAACTGTAGATATAAAAAATATATCTATGTAGAGCTAAAATTTATTTAAAACTTTTGGATTTATTTAGACCCTAAACATGTAAGTAGCATTTAATATTGAATGCATTTCATTTCTTCTCAGTGAGTGAATGTTTTTCAGTTTGTTTTTGTAGAAAAATTACAATTGTGCAAAATTTAGAATTTTTCATTTCAATCAGTTTATTTATTTTTTATTTGTTTCAGATGCTCCTTCAAATGATGAGCGTCTCCAGTCTCTGATTGCCAAATACCGCAATCCATCTGATCAATCTAGCAGCCCAGAAAAGAATCGGAGTGTCGGACGCCCTCATTCTGTAGGACCTGGTAGCAATTTTGGCGGCATGAGCCGTATTCTTGGACTTACAACTCCAAAGCCATTTTACCTCAGCAGTGCTGGGTCCAAATTCAACCGTTTTTCAGGAAGTGGTATCTCAACTATAAATCCTCCTGCTAATGTTAACACAGCTTCAACTACCACTTCATCCGTGCCTCTTTCCACTGATGCATCAGCTGCTAACTTATCATCCCAATCAAGTACATTCTCATCACTTAATGCCAGTGAGGATGTCCCCAAACCTTCTGTGAAGATTGGTGTCTCTAACCGGCCCCCATTACCTCCCCCTCGTCCAGCCTCACGCCCTTCCAGTGCCCATAACCCTGAAGTAGAATCTCCTGTAAATGGGGTGATGTCTCCACTTCCCCTGCCACTACAGTTGACTCAACAGTTGTTGATGCTTCTGAAGATGTTGAGGCAAATATGATCATCACAATTTAATGCCAGAAATACAAACAAAATTCTTATTGATTCATAAGCAAAATCTTTTCGTGTTTTCTTTCTGGTGAATTCATGTTTTCTTTTGTGTTTCAACCACGTTTGTCTCTGCTCAAAAGAAACATGAAACAGTATTGATAAATAAACAAACTATTTGCTAAGATTGTGAATGAAAAGTGAAATTAATTTTATATAATAATTCTCACTTTTTCACAATTTCTAAATTTAAGTTCAATGTCAATGAAATTTGATCAAAGGCAGAGAAAAGAAATCCTTGGAAAATCCCACCAAATATTAGAATATATATATAAAAACTTTTTACTTTTCGCTCATTTTTCTCTTGATCCCCACCTTAAAAAAAAAAAAGTTTTTTTTTGCCTCATGAAGAAATAAAGAGTAACAAAAAAATAACTCATCAATTATTAAATTTCTTTGTTTATAAAGAAAAATCTCATAATTATTATGAAATTTTGATCAATTTTGCTAAAAAGTTTGAAAGTAGTTTTAACAGCTTAAATGTATGGACTTGATAAACATATAAATTAATAAATTTGTTGACATTCAATTTTATTCTGTAACAAAACATGTTTTGAAAATTTTAACCATTTTTTAATCTTTGTTTGTTCTGAATCTCCTTGCTTTTTCTCTTTGCACACTTCCTGTCCCCATGACAAATTAAAAAGTCTTTATTCCCTATCTTTCTTCATCCAATTTTCTCTATTCAACATCACTGTTAAATTCATGACAATATATAATTTATATTTTTAAAATCTGAAGAATAATAATGCTTAATGGATATTTTTTTGTGATGGACAATGAAAGAACAATATAGGAATAGTTTGAAAAGAAGAGGATTTTAAAAAAATATTTGATGGAGCCTTGACGCTGTGCCTTGCCTTCAGTATCAGATTCTTTTTTTTTCGTTTGAGGACATTGATGTATTTGGATGCTTGTAAACATTCATGTATTCAGATGTTTATAAATGCAGGAATAAATCCTAATGTAAATGTTTTGCTGGATGGATTCCTTCATGGTCTCTTACATCTGAAACTCTGTGTGTGTACATCTTAAATCTGAAACTGCGTATGTGTGCCTTTTGCATCTTGAACTCTGTGTATGTATATGTCTTTTGCATTTGAAAAATTGTTTACGTATACATCTATATGGGTTTTGCATTTGGAACTCTCTCTGTGATTGTTTATTGTTTTGATGTTTCTAGTTTTGAACTTTTCAGAATTTCCCAATGACCATTTTATTTAACATCACAAGGAAGTGAATTTGAAAGTAGAATTTGTGAATGTCAATCTACTTGCAAAAATTGATATTCACAAATTCTTACATGTTTACAATGAAATTATTTGGGTAAGTGAGAAGAAATCAGTTTTTTTAACAGGACAATATTTGTAACTATTAAGGGACTGAGAGATCAAGTTATGATTGTTTTTATCTCCACTGGAATGTGGTTGTGTTATTGAAAACTTGTATTTTGTATTCTACATTTGCAGAAATTTGCCATATTTCATCTAAGTTTGTATGTTCTTTTAATTTGAAAGGTTCTGTATTGCAAACTTTGAGAAAGTAAACATGACAAATTTTATTACCCATCTGGTAAAAACTTTTATAGTTATCAACATTTATAATGTGGTTGACTTGAGTTTAAACTCATCTGTCAAGATTCTGTTTTCATCTTCTATTTGGGGCTGTACTGTTCAATCATTTTTGTCAGGTTTTCTAGAAATAGAGAATAACCCACCTGGTAATGAATTAATTCTTTCACAAGTCTAAAGTCATCATCTACCTAACCCTTAAAGCATATTTAGTGCAGCATATATAATTTGTTTGTTCATTCATTTACACAAGTAGTGAAAATATGCAATTCAAAAGGCAGGCTATATTTAGTGAGTTTTCAAATCCTGCCACCATTACATTTTATATTAAAATTTGGGGCATTCATAGCACAATGTCTTGGAAACTGAATTCCTTAGACAAATCACACTATACTTGTGCTAATCACTGATCAAAAATCTATTTCTGTTTTTCTCTGAAACAATCATAACCCATCAGTTAATTAGAAATGCTAAATTCAGTTTCTAAGAATGCTCTGTATTTTATCATTTTTATTTAAAGTCTAATTGAAGGAGGAATTTAATCTGTGAACAGTTTTAACATGTGGTAGATTGCTTTTGAATGGAATACTTTTATTCTTTATTCATTTTATTTTGATCTTTATGCAAGTAGTAAAACATCAAATCATCAAAAATGTTTTTTTTAAGATTTTTGCAAATAATGTTGTCCTGCCTATTATAATCTAATCTTTAAATTTTCTAAATTTCCAAATTTAAAAATTCAAATTCCCAGAGTAAATTTCTTTTTCTACTCCACAACTTTGTTTTTTTGATGTCTTCTTTTGTTTTTTTTTTTTCTTTTCTAATCACCATCATCGTTTGACAAAACTGATGATATTCAAGCAGCCAAGTCTCCATAAACAAAGTCATCTTAAAAAAAAAATGTGTTTAAAAATTAGATTTTGAGCATTCTTTGAATTGGGATGAAGTATTTCGATTGCATGTAATCACTAAATTGTTTTTGTAAGGAAAACTCTCACTAAAAAAAAAAAAAAAAAAAGACAAAAAAGAAGAAAAAGAACAAATAAAGGCTTGCAAAAAAACTGTTTCATATTTTTCCTTATTTTTATCTGAAAATTGTCATTAAATATTCTTGCATAACTGAAACTCACTTCAACCAGAAGAAAATATTGAAATGATTAAAATAATTTTTCCGACACATATGAAGCCTTAATTCATCACAACTAGAATATTGTTGCTAAGTTTCTTTATATCCTTTTTGCCAAAATAAATGTACAGCTGATAATGGAAGACTATTAAGAAATGTGGTCTTGAATTGGCTCCTGTTCTCTTTAAGCTCTACAATAAATACCTTGATGTTTCCTGTTTTCCTGCTAAATATCAGGCTTCTCCTGCTTTCTGGTAAAAACTATAGTAGACTAATCAACTCTGAATTGCTTAAACATCTCAACTTGCAGAGTCTTATTTCATATAAGTAATATGGCTTTCACTTCTTTAGGTTAGTTGCTGACATATTAAGAGTTATTGCTGAAAGAGTCTATCAATGGTGAAACTTGTGCTGTTGCTTTGGATATGTCAAAGGCATTTGACAGGGTTTAGCAAAATGGTGTTCTTCACAAGTTCAAATGTTATTTCTAGACAAATTTTTATGATTCAATCTTTCTTATCAAATTGGTAGCTGATCTCAAAAATGATTTAACTGAGGCAAGAAATGGCTCCATAACAAAACTGCTCTCTTTTAATGATCTGAGAGAACTTTTTGCCTTCCATCAGCATGGCTGATACTAACCCCAGGTGAATGCACCTTCTCAGGCTAATGTTTTTGGCTGACATGAGTGCAAAGATATTGTTTCAATTGCTAGGTCTACTGTTAGGAAAGTTGGTTCACTGTCGTGCTAGAATATTTTTCTCGACAGAATCTATCTTACACATTAATAAGTCTACCATTCATCAATGCATTGAATATTGCTGTCACATCTGGGCTGGTGCTTGGGCTACATATTTAGAGACTCTTGAATCTGGCATCTCAACTTCACTCATTTTCCCCCTAACTTAACATAGCTTCACTGCATTTTTCTATAAATATTTTCATGGTAAATTTTCTGATGTGCTTTCCTTTCCTCTATGTCGCCTAGACTTTATGAATTTAAGTGAATCATTTTAACAAAAGAAAAATACAATAAATTTATTTTTCACCCTAAGTAAGGCAATAAAGCCCCTAAACGCAAGGGGTTATGGAGTGTTAGAGAATAGGAGAAAAAGAAAATATTAAGGAGGAAGAACACTAAAATGATCGGAATTAAGACAGAAGATAATGATTGATATTGCATTTAAATTTTTGAAGTTGACTGGAAATCAAGAAGAGTTCCATAAGCATGAATTGTAAGAGAACTGCTAGCATAGAATCTGATTACATCTAGTCATTTCAACTGTAAAATGATGAGATCTTGCTGCCAATCTACACTTAAATTCATAAAGTCTACGTGACATAGAGGAAAGCTCAGAAAATTAACCAGGAAAATATAGAAAAATGCAGTGAAGCTACGTTAAAATATAGAAAAATGCAGTGAAGCTACGTTAAGTCAGTGGGAAAATGAGTGAAGCCGATATGCCAGATTCTTTGTATTTTATCAAGAGATACATGTACAAGTTTTTAGATTTTCAATTTTGAATTAATTCACATGTGATTCTCCTTGTGGAATTCTTTTTTCACAAATTGTCTTCATATGTTACTTTTTTTTACTGTATCTTTAATGTGTATCTATTTCATTGCATTGACAAAATCATTGTTGTATAAGTCTGTAATTATGTATATAAAGTGTCTTTTCTCTCAAATATTTATACATGTGCTTGGCTGTTGTGTTATCACATCGCAGCTATAAAGTAGAATTGATTACAACCAGTAATTTCCAAAATTAGTGAATCTCCAACAAAGATAAGCAGCTATCTAATATCGAGTAAATTATTTAATTTATTCCATATGAACTACAAACATATAAAACTTGGTATAAGTTTCAGTCCTCTTTCTGTAACGTGGAAAAACAGCACGCATAGTTCAAACATAAACATATTGCAAAAAATCTAATAGAGGGGCTGTACACTTATTTTATGTAGCTTGAAATTCAGTATGACTGCTTTTTTTTTTTTTTGCTAGGCGTCAAATTTGACGTAAGTGGTCATCTTTACATTCTCATTTACCTCCAACTACATTCATTGGTCTACCTTATACTAGTGCTTGGGTCCAGTTGTATCCCTTTTGTCTTATTCGATATTGTTTGCAGTTACACGTAACAAGTCTAGTTTACCTCCATTACTCCATTTTAATGAAACATTTTATTATTTAGTATAGATAAGTGAATGTCCATAATTGAGATAAATCCATTCTAATTGAAGCGAACACAACAATACTTAAGAAAAGAGAACAACATTCTATCCATCTAAGCTAATAAAAATGAAACCTGTTAGATTGATAAACATTTCCTATTTGTTCTTATATGCTATCCTGTCACATTGGCCGGATACATTACTTATGATGAGAGCTCTTAGCAATTTATTCGGTACTATATTTTTGCCAATTAATGGAGGGACTATATTGTGATTGATTAAAACATTCTATATTGTGATTGACCTTAAATCCTTATTTGGCATATTCCAATCAACATTGAATAAATATTCCCTGCAAGAGATAAGACATTTGGATATATTTTATTAACATTCCTGCAGAAACTTTCTCAGAGTATCAATGTCTTTGGACCTTTATACCTGTCTTTAGTTGAGGATCGGGTGAAATATTAGAAACTTCAATCATTTTCCTTTGAACAATTATTTGTCCTTGAAACTAATGAAAATTCTTATTCCTAACGACAAGTTGAAAATTGTGGATGACACCAGGATAACCTTCGCTTCTAAATTTTCTGGCAGTGTATCTTTTTTCTTTACACTTCACAATTTGTCTCATCTTAGTGCTAATGTTTCTACTAATCATGGACAGATTCGGGCACGCATGGTCAGACATTCGGCTTTGGACAAAGACCAGCGTATCAACATACTAAATTTGGAAGAAATGATTACACACTTGGTTCTTTTTTCATCACCTGATGAGCAGGTTAACCATGTACACTTCGACATTACAGGACCCCTACCTTCTCGAGATGGATACTTTTATTTGCTAATATGTATTTTGATCATGTTCCTTGCCGGCGAGAAGTATTCCTACTTGGAGATTTCCCCATATATTACTGCAAAGCCTTTTATTCCTGCATAGGTATTCCGTTTTGGGACCCCAGCGGTAGTTATCAAGACAAAAGTCGCCGATACGAGTTTAATTTCTTTTTGTCAGTTAATGAAACTTGTCGGTCATAAGAGTATTCGCACTGCTGCTTATCATACTGAAGAAAAGGGCACGGTGGAAATGTTCCAACAAAGATTGAAGTCAATTATGAGAGTAACGTTGAGCTAGTCTAATTGGCTGGAGTACCTTCACTCAACCCTTCTGGGACGTGACACGGCAGTAAAGGGGGGATTATTCGATCTTCTGAGATGATGTATGGTACCATGAGACTGAAAATATTTTCTTCCAAATTCCACAGAATTATTAGGAGTGACAGCACATGTACCACTACACATCCGTTTTCTCTTGCAGATGCGTTGTAGTAATGACGTCAGGCATGAACATGCAACGTTTCTTTTTTTTCTCCTTTCGTATGTTCCATTCTAAATTCCATTCCGATAGATGCTTTATCCTCGGGGTCTCTCCAAAACTACACTTCTATCGTTTCGTTTTCAAACCATTCTGACATCCTCTCTAATCTTGATGTTATAGCTCTAATTTTTTTTTTAACTGTTGATTCCTTCTTTAATTAGCATTTTTTAATCTGTTAGCTTAAGCCTTTCACTCATGGATTTAACACGTATACAACTTCAAAGTCATCACCTTTTATATAAGTACAAGTATCATTTTTGTTTCAATTTTCCTGAAAATTGCCTCTTCACTCACATGTTCCTTCTATTCTCAGCCGCCTCCATCTGTAAGGAAATTGTTCAGCTTTCACTGATCCTTGATCAACAAGTCAGTACCCTGTTCTTTGTTGTTTAACGAAATTTCCCCTTTCTTAGTACTTAATTTGTTTAGCTTTTGGAAGACATCTCTCGCTATTTCAATGTGTCTTCGGATTTCGGTGTTACATTTTCCATCGTCGTTTATAATACTTCTCAGGTAATTACATTTTTATACTGGCTTGAGTGTGACGTCACTAATTCGTAGCTTGTGTCTTGGTCTGTCCCTCTTATTATCGACTACTATATATTGTCTTACAATTGAGGATTTGTCCTTTCTTCTTGCTTTCCTTTATTACTTTGTTTATGAGTCCCTGCGGTTTTCTTTCTACAAATTAATATGACACAGTGTCATCTGAGTATCTTATGCTATTACGCCTACAATCAATGAATCCTAGCAACATAGTTTGAATAAATCAGGTGAGAAGACACTTCTATTTTTGTGTACTTGCTCAATTTGTTTTCTATCTGTATGCAGCCGGTTTATTCCAGTAAATATTCCAGATTAGAAGATTAATCTTCTGCAAATAAATCAAGTTTACTTAGTACTCCAAATAGATTTTTATCGTAACTTAATCAAAAGCTTCTGCATAGTCTATGAACTATGAAGTATCTCCTACATTTGTAATGCTTTCTCTGGTAGCATTCTGATCAGAGTGTCTTTGACGAAGCCACATTGTTCTTGATCTATTTCCGATCTAATTCTGCTATCCGGATGATAAGCTTAGTGATGTGTCTCATTGTTGATTGTCAGGTGGAGCACATATTCATTTGCACCTGGCTTCGTAGGCAACGCTATAAAGCTGGATTTTACTAAGTGAGCCACCACTTTTTTTTTTTTTTATTATTTGTTATTTCAGTGCTTGAGTGTGACGTTTTGCGGTAGTGGAATAAGAACCAGTAACACTTGGTTACTAAAGCTTTTTTTTCACCTTCTTGAGGCCTTCTTTCACTGCCAGCACATCTCTCTCTCTCTCTCTCTCTCTCTATCTGTCTCTCTCTCTCTGCCAGGCCGTTTGATGTTCAAAAATATGGTGCTGTGCGTATATTACTTCACACAGTTCTTGAGAATCTCAGAAAACTCCGCACATGTAAAATTACTTCCATTGTCTGTAACAAGTACCATTGGTATACCATGGTGGAGAAGATATCATGCAATTTTACTGAGATACAAGATCTATTCAGATGACCTCAATCCACTTTGGCCCAAGAATGGGTCTGCAAAATATCCTGGACTATGAAATCCCAGGCCAACAGTTGAGCAGAGACTCCAGTGGGCTCTTCCTATGCACCTGACACATATAACAAACAAAGCTTCTGGCTATTTGTTTCATCCGTGGGTGGCTTTCGTGTAGTTCTTTTATGATTTTTTCCCCTCTGGGTGGGACAAGGACTCTAAATCCCCACAACATGACACGGTTTTGTGCACTAAGTTCTGTTCTACGTCTGTAGTATGGAAGCAATTGTTCACATACACTCACTCCCCACCCAATCTGAACTAGGAGATATATCTTAGAGATTATTGGATCATGTCTTGTGATGGTGATAATCTATTATGTAGATATGTGTGATCCATCCAATTATTCCAACAATGCAATTACTTCTTATGGCATTGGTGTTTTCTTTTGGTGCTGAACTCACAATCCAAACACTATGGCTAGACCTTCCTTGTCTTGTCTGTTCAGCTTTAAACAAGGTCTTCGAAGCAAAAGAAATGGGTATTTCATCTTAATCCTTCATTTAACGAGACAATATAACCCCTACGTCATAATGTGTTGAATCCCATGATAAAGCCAGGGGTTTTGATGGATTATAATATATGAGGACATTAGAAGGGGCACCTCGGCGTGGTGTAATGGTTAGCCAGCTTGTCTCGCTAGATCAGTTACAACTGAAAAGTGAGTTCGATCCTCACTAGATGCCCCATACATTCGGCCTTGTGCCACATCTACGCTTGGAAAATAACTATGAGGACATTAGAAGTTAACAGCAACTGTCTGGACTGTCAAAATGCTTCTTTCTGTTTATTTGTCTATGCAGATCTCATTCTGTTAGGACTTAATTTGAACTGCTTGTAGATACTCCGTATTTAGTATATTACTAATAACGATGGTTTTCTTTTATTTAGTCCGTACGTACATTTACTATTTTATTTGTCAGTCAAGTTCTGATGAGTGAGGACGACAACTAAACACATTTAAAAAAATTATCTTTCTGGTCTTTTTTGTATTAAATGTCAGTCTCTTTTTCGTTTTTCTCTTGTTTTACCTACAGGTTTAAAATTTTAATTTATTCATTTCTTATTCTAAAAGTTCTTCCTTCTGACAAGTGAAAAAGAAAGACAAAGAAATCGACTGCATAGTTTCCCCCGTAGGCTGAAGAATTCGAAGAAGAATTAGAACAATAATTTATTATTACTGCTACAAACTGCTTCTGCTGTTGCGTGTGTGTGTGTGTGTGTGTACTGTAATACTTAGAATTACTGTTCACTGAAAAAGGAATTTTAATAGACACTTACAATAGAAAATCTTCCAGCCGAAAGTTTTTTGTTTGTGTAAGTTTTGTTTTGGAAATCTTCCGAATTCCCTGTACTTTCAAATTATTATTATGTGATATTCATTTATTTTTTCGAGGGTTGATTGTAAAATATTTAAATTAAGACAACATGAATCATATAATAAAGACTCAAATTAAAAGTAAATCGTTGATAACATTTTCGGTTGATGGCGAAATGATGTTTGCAATAAAAAAAACAACAAAACATTGAAAGAACTAATAAGAACGATGGTTTTTCTTTTAACAAGTACACTTATCATATGTGCCATGCATTAATAATGCATGCACAATGATTTAGAATATTTGCAACAATTGTTTTTCGTTTTGCAAATCATCACTGAAATTTCCTAAATAGTTAACTAACATAATCGTTTATTCATGTTGAAGCTCATCTAAAATTTTTCCTTCACTTGTTCGAATTCAACAGATATTTGTCAATTTTTATCAAGTGCCAATTTGTCACTTTGTGTAGTAAAAGACTAAAGAGTGAACAATTTGATTTGCGAGAGAATTTTAATTCGTTTTTCATAAACGTACACCAGATATTTGAAAGAACTATTTTTACATGATTTTTTTTTAATAAGCAACGTAGCATTTCGACGCATTTAGTGATTGGGTGGATTAATTTTTTGCAAGAATTACTAGCTAAAGTTGTTTAAAAATTTTTTTTTTTTAACTTTATGCTTGGTCTTGGATCTAATAAATTTGTTTCATCTTATGTTTTTTTTTTTTTGAATTCCATAAAGCTACACTGGTGTTTATAGCGGAATTTAGCCAATGTTTTTTTTAATACGCTTAAGCAACTCGTTTATTAGCAACTCTACAGTTACTAATAAACGAGTTGCTTATTAAAAAAAATTAATTCCCTCATAAACCTTCCTTTGGTATTTTTTTTCATTCATTGCTAAATAGGTAAACTTAATTTATTTTCATTTCAATTAATAAATTGGACGGACGAATTTCTCGGGCTTATTTTTCTATTTTCGCTTTAAAGTGCTATTTTACAAATTTTTGACCCTATTTAGTATTTTGTAGGTAGTTATGATGGTAAACTGTATAATAATGACGATGAATTATTTAGAATACTGAAAGAACTAATTCATATTTTCTCTGAGCGATTATACGAGATAAATCACGAAAAGAATAATGAAACTGCAAAGACCAAGAGAAGAGAAAGGATTCTCGCGAACGCCACCATTATTTCCTGGGTTCTTTAACATCACAATTCGACTCGTTCTACCTCCGCTGGCTGATCTGTAAAATTAGCGGGGAAAAAAAGTTTCATTTTATTTATTTGGCAACTTATAAATGAAAGAAATTGTCAAAGATACAAGAATAAAAAAGCCGGATGAAAAATTCTTTTGAACTTTTGGAAGAACATTTTTTTTTTTTCTGATTACAGAATATAAAAAAAATGTTGAGGAAAAAAGTAATTATTATGAAGATGAAATGTGCACATCGGTCTGGTAAAAATGAGGAACAGGAAAATAGGATATTATCATTCGTTTGTCCCAAGACCAATTTCTAGCTAACCTTTCGAGAATTAAGTAAAGCAAAATGGATGACTAACCACTGCCTCTCTGAATTGGTTTAGGTGGGGGCGAATATTCAAGTGCTATGGTGTGTGTGTGTGGTTCTATAGTTAACAACGTGCTCCAAGTAGTTTTTTTTTCATCTGCCGATACGCTGGTTGGAACAAAAGAACTGACAAGTGTGAGGAAACACTATGAAGTTCTGTTGAGTCGGCTCATCATGTATTTCAAAATGCGAGTGAACGATATTTTATTTAAATTTTTCACTTCTCTTCACAAAATTTAGTAGGGGGTAATATGCAACTGGCCACTCTAGGGAGGGGGCAAATTATGTTCACTATATTTTATTTGGGTTTCGTTTCGTAAAACTATTTTGCGAAAAAAGTGAAGTATCAAACAAACACATTTAAGTAGATTTGACATGGCAAGAGCAGTTTTAGTTAAAATGTGTGTCAACGGAAGATTTTGCTTCTAAGACATCCATCTGATACGCTTTTAAAGCAGAAAAACTTCCTAAAGATTTGGTTTAAATATCAAACAATCTTCGCTCTCTCTCTCTCTCTCTCATACATATCTTTTATAGTACACCATTTACATTATTCGGACTATTGTCCTCATATTTGTCGCCATATTCATTACAACGTTTCGGCCATTGTAAGCTCTGTCCTTCTTCAGGGGTTTGGAATGTCGAACTGAACCCTTTATTTCGCTCACTGGCGTAGACTGTTCTAGTTCCACGTGCCATGTCTAATGGATGTCAGTTATCAGTTATCTCCTGTTAATTCCCCTCTCCACCGCCTTAACCAGGTATTGAACTCACACTCTTTGGGTCCTGTCACTGGATCTAACTAACGTCTTTATCCACTGTGCCATGTGTCCTCAAGGCGGTGGAGAACTTGGTGAGGGGCCGAAACTTTGTAATAAATATGGCGACAAAGATGAAGACAATAGTCCGAAAAATGTAAATAATGTACATAATACCTCATCTCAGATATCTTTTATAGTAATTCATCGAGTCTACAAGAATCCTCAACAGAATGCAGAAAACACTAGACAGCTGTTTCGTTCTATTTGCTCATCAGCAGTGTGCATCCACTACCGAGAATCGAACTCGGACTGTTATGATACAACGCAAGCATCATACCACTAGAGACCAATGGGCCTTGGCGACGCAGAAGAAACTGACTAGATTCAATATAGCACCGCTACTCACTAAATTCCGTGGTGATACTCATCCAAGCATACGTAACCCAACAGACTGTGCCCCAAGATCCAAATTTTCCCAAATAGAACGAAACGGTCGTCCAGTGCTTTCTGCATTCCGTGGAGGATTTTTCTAGACTCGATTAATTACTGTATAAATGATTATTCAAATCCCCATCCACTCCACAAAAAAAATATATGAAACGTGATATCCAATGTTTAAAAAATATTTTTTTTAAATGAAAAGTCTACCTTGAAGCTTTTATTTGTTTTAATTTCAAACTAATAGATTAAATATAATAAGCAAAATACTTTTTCTATATTTCAAAACTAATTTAAATTGACTGAAAGGAGTTTTCACTTTGAAATATCGTTGGTTTTAGTGTCATTTTTAACCATCCGTCATCACGATGTAATTCTCTTCGAAAACTTCTAAAAATAAAATATACTTGGTGTGAAACAAATATACTTTAAATTTAAAATATCGTAGAAATGCATTTTAACACAGTTGTTTAAAGTGCTGACAGCTTGACTGACAGAATTTTTTATATACTTGAGGAATATAACATGAGTGCCTTTTTATATAATTTTTAACTACCCAGTATTCTTTAAAAAACAGAAAATATATCCTCCATAATCTGATGTTTTATTGAATTTTAGGTACTTTGGCATTAAATTTACTATAGTTATCGCTGTTATTTTCTGATAATATCGTGATGATGTCCGCATTTAAAAATCATCACGTTTATATACATAAAAAATAATAATTCTTATAAAAATATTGGCGTTTGTCTATATTTCTGAGATGAGGTATTATGTACAGTATTTACATTAGTCGGACTATTGTCCTCACCTTTGTCGCCATATTTGTCACAACGTTTCGGCCGTTGTACGCTCCGGCCTTCTTCAGGTGGTTGGAATTTCGAACTGAACCCTTTATTTCGATCACTGGGGTAGACTGTTCTAATTCCACGTGCCATGTTTGATGGATGTCAGTTATCAGTTATCTCCTGCTAATTTTCCCTCTGAAAGTTCTCCACTGCCTTAACCAGGAATTGAACTCACCTTCTTTGGGTCTGTCACTGGATCTAACCAACGCCTTTATCCACTGTGCCATGTGTCCTGGACATCCATCAAACATGGCACGTGGAATTAGAACAGTCTACCCCAGTGATCGAAATAAAGGGTTCAGTTCGAAATTCCAACCACCTGAAGAAGGCCGGAGCGTACAACGGCCGAAACGTTGTGACAAATATGGCGACAAAGATGAGGACAATAGTCCGACTAATGTAAATACTGTAAAAAATATTGGCAGTCGCTAAATTGAATTAAGCTTTTCCACTTATGATCATTAAATATAGTTTCTGTTTTTTTTTTACTTAATAACAAATATCACTTAAACGGAACAAGTTAAGACAGAATTTTAAAAGATTTTAAAACTTCATAAATTTAACTAAATTTAAAAAACAATTCTTGTAAAAAACATTTTAATTTTACGAGTCAGAGCAGATTTTCGATTACAAAAAGAAATTAATGATTTAAATTCTCCAACGAGTTCTGCTTTTAACTAATATATAAACACTTAATCGGATCAAAATTTAATTTCTCGAAATTTCATGAAGTGGAGTGTAACAGATGTATATATATAAGATATAAAGATTTTCTAAAAGAGAAACATTTCTAAAATAGTTTAATTCATATGTGAATGTCCTGAAAGTTTCATTAAAAGACGAGAATTATTTGATTTTTACAAGAATTTCCAAATAAATGTTTTTCACCTAGTTACTTTCATGAAAATCGATAGCGTGACAAGAACGGCCTGAATCTTGATGATTTTTTTTTCATCTTAAATGTATATTTCATTATTAAGAAGAAATACCAAAGTATTTTTTGAATTTTTTTACTCATTCTTAGAACGTCCAAAATTTTAGTTAAAAAATCTTGTTTTTTTTTGTCTGCGAAAAAGCTAAAAAAACTCATGTCAGCCATTTTAAAAAAATTTTGTAAACTAAGTTAAATAAATTCTTCGTTTAAACCTCGTCCAAAAATCAATTATACGTTTTCAAAATTTATTTGAAGAAAATTAGAAAATTTAAAGTTTATTTAATATATTTTGAAAGAAACTTTTACATACTTTCTTCGCAGAAAAATGTCTAAAATAAAAGGGAGTCGATCTTAACGTCGTTGGCGATTGACAAGTGCTGAATGGTGATATTCATCACGTATTGACAGCTAACGTGAGATTCGAGTTATCATACGAACGGATAGAATTGACATTTTTAAGTAAACCAGCTTCTGCTTATGTAGTACCTCGTAATTCTTAAAGTAAAAAAAAAAAAAATAATAATCTCAGCATTCAATTTTTTTTATTTTGTTTTTTAGTATGTAGCTTTCAATATAAGTTTGTTGATACTATCTGGAGAAATTATAAATACTATAGAAAAAATTAAAATAGAAGTGCTGCACAGCTGTTTGAGGGTACCTATAGCCCCCACCCAACTTAAATAAAGTCAATTCAGATCTGCTATGATAAAAAATTGTAAAGTAAAAAAAAAAAAAAGTAGCGATAAGGAAATTTAAACCAAATTGACTTTGACATATCTGGGTCAAAGGCAAACTAGCTCTCATGAACTTGTAAATCCCACCACTTACAAGAGCAAAGAGTGAAAAAAGGGGGGCAATATTTGTAATAAAGGCTTGATATGGATTTTTTTTCAAACTTATATTTGAACAATGTCTTGAGGTGTTTTGTTTTGTTTTTTAGCAGCTCTTATCGCACCCGGCCGGAAGTTACTGCCGGCTACTCAAACATCTAAAAGCGTCACCGCGGAAAACATAACGAATGCCGTTAACTTCCAGTGATTCAGCGTTTTTCAGTCAACGTCTCACACAAACTAAAAAAAAACGAAACATTTACATATACGAACTTTCCTAACCAAAAACAATTACCAGAAACTACTTTATATACACATGGTGTCCGAATGGAAACCATGTGTACAGCCAAAAAGTAGAAGGTAATTTTCTGTCATCACCCCAAATATATCGCTGACAGGCTACGTTGCCGACCTCAGCCTATATAAATACAGCGGATTTTTTTTTCCACCAAATTAACTCTCCCGGCTGATTTTTGGCCTTGGGGTTTGAGCGACGAGCTCCCTCTCTCACCTTCGCTGACCACACGAAGCAGCCAGAGCCAGAGCCAGCAGCAGCAGCAGCAGAGCAGCCCGGCTTCCTCAGCAGCAGCGAAGCAGACAGCAGCAGCAGCCAGCCGGTTACATGATATGCACTAGTCTATCCTCGGCTATATGATATGCACTAGCCTACACTCGGTTGATATGCACCAGCCTATCCTCGGCTACATGATATGCACTAGTCTACCCTCGGTTACATGATATGCACTAGTCGTTTTTCCAGACTACGCCTGGTTACATAATATGCAATAGTCCTTTTCAGGACTAACCTAGCCGCGTTATTACGAACGTCCTTTTACTAGGACTACCAAGCTGCGATCCTGCACGACAGTCTACCCAAGGACGAAATGACTACGCCAGCGCTGTCCGCGTCGATCCTCTCTCTCTTCAAGCGCCGACGCGCTCTTTACTCAAGTACAGACATCCAGGGATCGACTGGACCTCGAACACCGCTGTTCCATCGGCCTACCACCAAGCTGTCGCCTTGAAACCTGACAACGCTCCTTCAAAACTACACGACCGAACTACCACAAACGATTATTTGTATATACTTGTGCCAGATTATATAATAAAATTTGGCTTAAACTTTTACATCCTCGTCTTTGTTGTCCTTGCTTCGATCGCATTACCATATATTATTTTTCTGCTTGCGGGGTTAACAGTCAACCTGCTTAGCGCCGCAACAAGTGGTGACCCCGATATTTACGATCGAGCAAGATGGCAACTGACGAGTGGGAACAGAACACTCTCATAAATGTAGCCATGCCACTCACAAACCTCCCTCCGTACAACGAACAGAACACCAAGAACTGGTTTCTGCAGTTGGAAGCCATTTTCTCAGTACGGAGAATGACTTCACAGCAAGCAAAATTCGCCAACGTGGTACAAGTTTTGCCACCTTCAGTTGTCGACGAAGTAGCCGACATCTTGGAACATGTACCCGAGCAGGAGCCATATACTCGCCTCAAGGATGCGATTTTGAAACGACCCGCCGATCGGACGAGGAACTGCTCCGGGAACTTTTTACCCACGTCACCTGGGGCGACAGAACACCCTCACAGCTTCTACGCTTCATGAGGAGCCGACTGGGGAAACATTCCATGGCCGAATCAATCTTGCGCGAACTGTGGATGGACAAGTTACCCACTACCATAACGCAGATATTGGCACCAATCGCTGACAACACTCCACTAGACCAGTTAGCAAACTCTGCTGACCGCATCGCAACTAAACTGGACCAAGGAGTGTGTGCCGTGCAGCGCCCAGACGACACACCAGCCAAAGAAACGGATCTGGAAAAGGCAGTAGCTGACCTGCAACATCAGCTGCAGGATATACGAATGCTCCTTTCCCGCAAATCGAGAGGCCCGATGCCGGCGACCGGCGGTTGGCGACGGAGAGCACGGAGTACCAGCAGGGATCGACGAGTCGACCCGGAATTATGCTGGTACCATCACAGATTCGGCACCAGGGCAAGGAATTACTCGGCACCCTGCAAATACAGCTCCAAAACCAAGTCGGAAAACTAAACAGCCGGCGAGTAGGAGCGGCAGAACCCCCCGGCAAAAACATACGAAGCCGCCTTTTCTACGTATGGGACCGACGGAACCACATAAAGTTTTTAGTGGACACAGGAGCAGCAATCAGCGTGATACCCCCCAAAGAACAGCAAGACCGAAAGGCGACCCCGTATAAACTCCAGGCAGCAAACGGCTCGACGATCGAGACATATGGAGCCAAGACACTGACTCTTAACATCGGTATGCGGCGCGATTTTACCTGGACTTTCACCCAGGCAGACGTAAAAACGCCAATACTCGGGGCAGATTTCCTGGCCCATTATGATCTAGCCGTGCACATGAATACGAGGACTTTATCAGACAATACCACGAACATTGCTGTTAAAGGCACCCTCTCTCGACACAACACCACTGGAATCAGTGTAACAACTTGCCACGGATGAGAGTACATCGAGATCCTAAACAGATACCCGGACCTCATTCAACCACTCGCAAGTACCGGTCCGGCAAAACACCAAACACAGCACCATATAAAGACCAGTGGACAGCCAACATTTTCCCACCCACGACGACTTCCTCCTCATAAGCTGGAATACGCCCAAAAGGAATTTAACAATATGCTGAAGGACGGATTCATACGACCCTCCGATAGCCCATACGCCTCACCCCTACATCTCGTACCTAAACCGGGAAGCACAGACTTTAGGGTATGCGTCGATTATAGAAGATTGAACGCCACAACCATACCCGATCGCTATCCCGTCCCGCACATACACGATTTCGCCTCAGGGTTGCAAGGCACTCGCGTCTTTTCGAAGATAGACCTAACTAAGGCTTACCACCAGATCCCCATAGCTCCGGAGGACATCCCAAAGACCGCCGTAACCACTCCCTTTGGTCTCTTCGAATACCTCAAGATGCCCTTTGGCCTGAGGAATGCTGCACAAACGTTTCAACGCTTCATAGATGAGGTACTGCGCGGCATAACGTACGCATATGCCTACATCGATGACATACTAGTAGCCAGCACAGATGAAAACACACACAAACAACATCTAAACGAAGTGTTCCAAAGAATAGCACTTTATGGACTCCGGCTGAACATCGACAAATGCACTTTCGGGGTATCTGAGGTGAATTTCTTAGGCCATCATATCGACAAAGATGGTACCACACCATTACCCGAGAAAATCGACGCGATTAAAAATTTCCCTACGCCTACATCCACAAAACAAATCAGACGATTTATCGGTATGATCAATTTTTACCGCAGGTTCATCCCCGACTGCTCGACAATTCTCTCCCCGTTGACACACCTCATAGAGCGGAAGAACAAACAAATTACCCTAGAGGGAGATACCTTGCGGGCTTTCGAAACAGCAAAGACAGCGCTTATAAACTTCACAAAACTCTCATTCATCGAAAACGACCCGGAAATAAGAATTTTCCTTACAACAGACGCTTCCGACGTTGGGATAGGAGCAGTAGTGGAGCAGCAAGTGAACATGACGAGACAGCCGATAGCCTTCTTCTCAGCTAAACTTTCTGCAGCCCAGAGAAGATACAGCACCTTTTCACGAGAACTCCTGGCGATCTACCTGTCCATACGTCATTTTCGACATCTTCTGGAAGGCAGACATTTCACTATCTTCACGGATCACAAACCACTGATCAACGCGATGAATGTCAGCGCAGACAAGTATACATCCCGTGAAACACGTCACCTCGACTACATCTCACAGTTTACGACGGACATCAGACACGTCCAAGGAAAGAACAACACCGTCGCAGACACATTGTCCAGAACAGACGTCAATACCATGGATAACGATGTTTGGAGCCAGGAGCTGATAGCCGACAAACAGAAAGACGATACGACGATACCTGACATCATTAAGGAAACTTCTTTGAAACTGCAGGAATTCCCGTGTCCGTTCAGCGATAAAACTCTTTTCTGTGACACCACACTGGATACTCCAAGACCGTACATTCCTCCATCTCTTAGAAAAAAAGTATTTCTCCATCTCCACAATCTATCTCATCCGAGCAAGCGAGCAACCGTCAAGCTTATCGCCGATCGATTTGTGTGGCCCAACATGAATTCAGACATTAGGAATTGGGTCTCAACATGCATACAATGTCAAAAATGCAAAATTCAGAGGCACACAAAATCACCAGTTGAAACATTCGCCACACCCGACGCACGTTTCAGCCACATCCACGTTGACCTCGTCGGGCCTCTACCAATGTGCCAGGGGTACCAATACCTTCTAACAATCATAGACCGTTTTTCGAGATGGCCAGTCGCTGTGCCGATTAAGGACATTTCCGCTACCACAGTTTCTAAAGCCATTCTCACCAACTGGATTACAAACTTTGGCGTACCCCAAGTTCTCACTACAGATCGGGGACCACAATTTCAATCCTCGCTTTTCCGAGAATTCTCTCAACTTTTGGGTGTCAGACACATTAAAACGACGGTTTACCATCCTTGCGCAAACGGCCTCGTGGAGAGATTTCACCGATCCTTAAAGACGTCCTTGTCAACCAAACTCGACATACACAACTGGGTCGACAACCTCCCCATGACCATGCTCTCTTTGCGGAATACCCTCAAAACTGATTTAGGGTATTCGACAGCGGAGCTTGTGTTTGGCACGCCTCTCTCCTTACCAGGACAATGTTTTCACCTTCCGCAGTACTCTTGCACATCCTCACCAAGTTCTTTCGTGCAAGATCTGCGCCACAAAATGGACAAACTTACATACACTCCCCCACGACAACAAACCACAAGCTCCTACTTACCACAGAAATTGGATACCTGCGATTTTGTTTTTGTTAGGAACGACGCCGTAAAAAAACCTCTCACACCTAGCTACCAAGGCCCTTTTAAAGTTCTGAAGCGTTCTAAGAAATTTGTCACGATCATGCGCGGCAAAGACAAAGACACAGTCTCCATCGACCGACTTAAATCAGCTTGGTTAGAGGAAACTTCTCCCGAGCCAGACTTACCAACAACGACGGAAGATGAAACAACAACACCAGTCGTATGAACAAAATCAGGCAGAAGAGTTCATTTTCCTGCCAAACTAAAGACTTACATTTTTTTTGTGAATTGATCACGATCAATCCTCTAGGAAGGGGGCCTTTTCGCACCCGGCCGGAAGTTACTGCCGGCTACTCAAACATCTAAAAGCGTCACCGCGGAAAACATAACGAATGCCGTTAACTTCCGGTGACTCAGCGTTTTTCAGTCAACGTCTCACACAAACTAAAAAAAAACGAAACATTTACATATACGAACTTTCCTAACCAAAAACAATTACCAGAAACTACTTTATATACACATGGTGTCCGAATGGAAACCATGTGTACAGCCAAAAAGTAGAAGGTAATTTTCAGTCATCACCCCAAATATATCGCTGACAGGCTACGTTGCCGACCTCAGCCTATATAAACACAGCGGATTTTTTTTTGTCCACCAAATTAACTCTCCCGGCTGATTTTTGGCCTTGGGGTTTGAGCAACGAGCTCCCCCCTCTCACCTTCGCTGACCACACGAAGCAGCTAGAGCCAGCAGCAGCAGAGAAGCCCAGCTTCATCAGCAGCAGCAGCTAGAGCCAGCAGCAGCAGCAGCCCAGCTTCATCAGCAGCAGCTAGAGCCAGCAGAGCAGCCCAGCTTCACCAGCAGCCAGAGGCAGCAGCAACAGAGCAGCCCGGCTTCCTCAGCAGCAGCGAAGCAGACAGCAGCAGCAGCCAGCCGACGCAGCTCCAATCAGCAGCAGCCAGCCGGTTACATGATATGCACTAGTCTATCCTCGGCTACATGATATGCACTAGTCGTTTTTCCAGACTACGCCTGGTTACATAATATGCAATAGTCCTTTTCAGGACTAACCTAGCCGCGTTATTACGAACGTCCTTTTAGTAGGACTACCAAGCTGCGATCCTGCACGACAGTCTAACCAAGGACGAACTGACTACACCAGCGCTGTCCGCGTCGATCCTCTCTCTCCTCAAGCGCCGACGCGCTCTTTACTCAAGTACAGACATCCAGGGATCGACTGGACCTCGAACACCGCTGTTCCATCGGCCTACCACCTAGCTGTCGCCTTGAAACCTGACAACGCTCCTTCAAAACTACACGACCGAACTACCACAAACGATTATTTGTATATACTTGTGCCAGATTATTTAATAAAATTTGGCTTAAACTTTTACATCCTCGTCTTTGTTGTCCTTGCTTCGATCGCATTACCATATATTATTTTTCTGCTTGCGGGGTTAACAGTCAACCTGCTTAGCGCCGCAACACTCTTGACCCGGATGATGAAAATAACACAACAGACGACATTGTCCTCAATTTTTTTTTTTTTTTAAATAAAAACGGAAAATAAAATACTCCACACGTGTGTTGCACGGACATTTTGCAAAAATAAAGCCGTAAACAGTGGAGAACAACCCTTAGACAGAAACTCAAGTGACATTTTTTTATTGCATTCATGATACTGGAAGATTCTGGTCTTCCGTAGATTAGAATTACAGTCGTTTTATGGACACAAATTATATTTTTTATATACTGATGTTCGTTAGTTTGTAAGAAGCTTTAGAAATTATAATCTGAAATTATAGATCTACTTAATAACAAATTGGCTAAATTGTACAAACCTTTCACTAATTTTAGAAGGATTAACAACATTTAATGTAAAAATAATAAAATATATTAAGAAATACAAATAATTGTTTTAAAAATTCATTTTTCATCGAAATTTTTTTTTGCTTTCAAACAATATTATCAATATTCATTAAAATAAATAAAAGCAATTAAAAGCATTTGAAATTAAATAATATCTTTGTTTTATTGAGTTTTGTATGATACAATTCAGAGATGATTTTCAGGTGGAGTAACTAAAAAAAAAAAAAAGATTTGTTTTCCTCAAAGCCTTGTGTTTTTAACTAATATAATCACTAATTTGTCCAAAATTGAAATTATAGAGTTTTCGTAAAATTAGTTAGGTGGTGGGGCGAGGGGGTAGGTAATAAATAACTTTAAAATGACTTTAAAATGGAAAACATATTTATAATAAGTTCCATCACCTAGCTAAGTGGTGCGGGATAAGGAAGGGTGCCCCACCAATATTATTTTCTTTAATAATATTGGTGGGGCACCTGAAAGACAGGACCAGGGAAAAGCCAGCGGGCCGCCCCGGAAGTAAGAAGAAGGGTGGCCCAGTTAAAAAGAAGAGGTGTAAGATGTTGGACATGTGGCCAGGTGAGCCACTTAGGTAGAGGGCAGGTCTCCCCAGAAATAAGAGGGAGGGTGGCTCATGTGAAAGGAGGGAGTATGAAATGCTGGATATGTGGGCAGGTGGGCCACTTTGCAGTTAATTGAAGGAGGTGCTATTTTTGTGGAAGACCAGGGCATCTGAAAAGGAATTGTGTTTACAGAAACGGCAGAAAGAAACTGCGAAGGGTTCAGTCGGGGCCGCCCTGGCAGAGAGGACGAAGAGCTCCCTATGTGAGGAGGATGACGGGGGTTGTTGTTGCCAGCACCTATGGCTGGGGGAAAACAGAGATGGGAACCTAGGAGAAGAAAGGCTAAGGTGTTCTCACCACTAATGCAAGAGGAGTTGTCTTGTAAGGCGAAAATAGGGGGAATAGCAATGAAAGTTCTAATACATACAGGAGCATCTGTTTCATTGCTGAGGGAAAGAGAATACAGGCGATTAAAACAGAGGGAATGGATACGATATGGATATAGAGATCACACAGGCAGATAGTGGACCCCTGGAGATAAAAGGGATGGCGAAACTTCCTGTAAGAATAGGAAAATTAAAAATATCCAGAATTTCTATATAACACCTGATCTGTGTACGGAAGCAACTTGGGGGAAGATTGGCTTCAGAGACAGAAGGCTCGTATAGAGTTTAACCCCATTGTAGTAAATGGCGAGAGAACGCCATTAGGAGATCCACCAGAAGAAGTTATAACGATAGTGGTGGAGGAAGATATAAGGCTACCCCCTAGAACAGCAGTGTAGAGGTAGACTGGTGACAGCAATTAGTCCCTGTAAAGGAGAAGGACCGGAAGAGAAAAGCAAAGAAATACAGTCAGCCAATCAAGGGTTCTAAAGGAAAACACCCTAAACAAGAAGAAGAGCTCAGTGAGTGGGAGGAGGAGGATGAGATACCCCTTTCCCAGCTCAGAGAAAGGCTAAGAAATAAAGGAGATCAAGAGGTTGAATCAAAAAGTAATGGAGAAGTCCAAGGTACAGACTCGAAGCTCCCTGAACAGAAGGAAGAATCAAGAGAGAAGGAAAAGGACGACACATCTCCAGAAGAGGAATTGAACACTGAAAAAAAGATTAGAGGTCGAACAGGAACTACCTCTGAAGATGAGATTGAGAGGGGTGGGGAAGCCCAAATCTCAGTTGAACCAAAAGGCTGTGAAGACAGATAACGACACTGGCTCATCCAAAAACCTACTTGCTGACTGTGGTGGATGTGGATGGAAGGGATGGAAGCGCGGACTGCACCTCACGAAGGACAGAAGAAGATTATTGGCATTGCTGACTGGCCAGCAGTAGTGTCATAAAGGTACGACCTTTGGAGTGGGGAGTATACAACATTAGATAAATTGAGCAGAATGCCCTGATGAAATTGCAAAGCGGAAGAATTGAAAGCCTCAATAACGAGAGAGAGAGAGAGAGAGAGAAAGAGAGAGAGAGAGAGACGAATTCCGTAATTTGCTGCCTGAAGAAGTCTTCGACAAAGTTTGAAAACTCGACTCCGAAAGTGTCACGAAATTAGACTATGAGGGAATGGTCATTAGCCTGCATGCTTGTAGATTCTTATACGAAAAAGTGTTCCTGTATAAACCTAAGTTATATAAACCTTGTTGATTTACACAACATTCTTTTTCTTTTCTTTTTTTTTTTTTGTCTTGCCTGAACGACACCAATCCAGCGATATCTGGCGATTCGATTCTTGCCTAACTTGTAATCAAAACAAACACAACGTGAGACAGGGAGAGCTTGAATCGAAGAGACCAACTTCACGGTTAGCCGCAGCTATATCTTCAATGACGAACTGGGATCATTACCCGGGCAGGTACATCTACAAGTTGACGAAACTGTCACACCGTATACTGCTGCACAGGGACTCACTACAGTAAAAAAAAGAATTAAAGAAACTGTAGGAACTAGGGGTTATTGCTTCTGTCGATGTACGTACAGATTGGAATAGCAACAAAGAAATATCCGTATCTATATTGAGACAAGGCACTGAACAAAGCACTGAAGCGCGAGCGATTCCAGTTACCAACCATAGATGAGGTTCAGTCAAGTTTAAAGAATGTGAAATACTTCATCTGCTTACTGGCATGTATTATTGGAAAACGAATCCAGTTACCTCATTACATTTCAAACAGGTTTCCGTCGATATCGGTGGTTTAGATTCCCCTTCAGAAATATTTTAGAAACATCTCCACCTGGTTCTTGATGGCCTGAATGGAATTACATGTTTTGCTGATGACATTACCGTGTTTGGTCCAGGAGACAAACTTGATGCAAGCATCAGCAGACGATGATTTAAACGTGAAATTGCTAGTGCGACGATACCGCGAGAATAGAATCAAGCTGAACAAAGAAAAAGTTCAGCTGAAGGAAACAGCAATCAGCTTCGTGTGGCACCTCGTGATAGTCTTACTACCAGACCCCTGTTAAAATTGATTCAGTCACCAAGTTGCAACCAACCACTGTGGAACTGTAAATTACCTGGAAAGATTTCTGTACAAATATCCTGTCATTAAGCTGATCCTACTACAGCAAGGAAAGCCCGTGACATATGCAAACAAAGCACGAAATGCTAGCAATAGTAATCTCATTGGAGAAATTTCACAAGTACACATATGATAGGACAGAGATTCATAGTGATCATAGTGATCTCAGACCATAGTGAAGAAATCCCTTGAGAAAGCACCAAAGCGTCTATAGGGAATATTACTACGTACCCCAAAATACGACGTTAATGTAGGATATGCCCAGGGAAAACTTTGCAGACATATCACGGTTATATATGAGAGATGAAAAGAACTGTCAAACAGAATTTGCACATGTGAATATGGTCAGCTTCTTTTCAATCCATGACGCAAGAGTTATACAGATCTGCAGAGCAACAGACCAACTGAAGAAAACCATATTACAGGAGTGGCTGTCTAACAAAGCAAATCTTCCAGCTACGCTATATCCGTGTTTCCATTTACGTGATAAGATGTCCGCTCAATATGCTCTCATATTTAAAGGTGACCGTGTACACATCCCTCTTAATATGCGGAGTGACATTAAACATGCACTTCATTCATTGCACATAAGTATTGATGGATGTCTACGGTATTGATGAATGTGTTTTCTGGCCAGGGGTGTCATCGGACATACGTGAGTACATTTATACGTGTGTAACTTGCTGCAAGTTCACAACAGTTCACAAAAGTTCACTAAAGAGACATTAATGTCAGACGCTATACCTGATCGTCCGTAGCAGAAGATTTATGTTGACCTACTTGATTTTGATTTTGTATTGTAATGGTAATATTACTGAGATTGTTCTCAGTGAGACGTGGGAAATTGGGGAGGTGATGGTCTTCGTCGTCTGACGTTGAGTTTGAAGCTAAAAGGTTCGCATTGTCTATTGCGGAAGATATGACTTCGGGGCTATTTATAATTGAGGGCACATCCGCTTTACCTCTGTTCATAATTTGATTGGTGAGCTTCCAGAATTCACGGGACCGTTTTGTTTCTTTTCAACCTTCAAGCTTGTGTGTAGCTGCACTTAGCATTTTCTAGAACTTTCTTTGCAGCGATTGCGGGCAGTTCTGAATGCAGTGCGGGTCAAACTACATCGCTTATTTCGAATGATATCGAAGTTGTGTTTCCTGTGAGTTATGGCTGCAACACATTCAGGGGTGAACCAGAGCTGACTGTTTGGTTTTTGCTGGCATTTTTTTTTTTTTTGTGCGGGGGAGGGGTTAGATATGAAGTATTCCATTTCTTTTTTCAAACGGAAAGAAAAAAAAATCACTACCCTTCTTTTTAAAATATGTCAAAAACGAGGGAATTATCAGATTCAGACGAAAGTTTAAGTACTTATTCATTAATGAGTTGTATACTGAACAGGTTATTTTATTAGAATAATTTGTGGTGATTATTGGGGAAGGGGAAATATTCGGAATTTTTTATGCAATAGCGTGTGAATATACGTAAAATTCTTCCCAAATTTTACCAAAAATAATTCAATAAAACTCCAACAAAAATTTTTTCTGACAGTTGGTGCTTTCATAACTTTTAGGTACCTTCACTAATTTTCTATTCCTAAGGTTTAAAATGCATTTTTATAAATGAAAAAGCTTTCTTGAAGCTTTCACTTTAGCTTTAATTGTAAACTAAATGATTAAATTTACTATGTCGCGGCCGCCATTAGCCGCTCCTTTTATAAACAACCTTGACCTTTCACAAACATTGATCTCGCAGATTTAAGTCAAGCAACATGCGAGAAACCGGGCGACTAGTCCAATATGGTTGAGTCCAAACCGTACCTCGTGAGCATCGGATTAGGCAGCGCTTTTTAAACATCGAACAACATTGGGATTAATTTAATATCTACGGTTTTCTACTCCCTCTAGCCAGGGAGTACTTGAATAAATCGTTTTACATATTTACATAAATGACATGAGCGCCTTTTTTAATATAATTTTTTAAGTACTCAGTAATCATAAAATGTTGGAAATATTCTCTGTAATCTAATTTTAGTAATGTTGACATTAAATTTAGTATAGTCATCGGTTTAATTTTCTGATGTCGTGTGTGATCGACCACACTTTAAAAATGGGCACGTTAGATAATATTTTATATACATAAAAAAATTTAAAATTATTTTAAAAACTTTTGTGCAAAATGATTTTTATAAATTTTTCCAATTTTTGATTAGTAAATATAGTTTTCACTTAATAACAATATCACCTACCCGGATGAAAGTAATGCAGAATCTTAAATTTATATATTATAAGTTATTATAATTAAAAAAAAAAAAAAAAAAATGAAAACAATTTTAAAAATTCATTATTCATGAAAAGAAAATTCTTAAGACAATAGTGTCCTTAATAAATTTTATTTATAAAAGCAAAAAGCTTTTCTAATTAAATAATGTCAATTTTATTGCATTTTTTTATTTTACGATTATGAGCAGATTTTCGGGAAATGAGGATTGAAAAAAAATTGAGGATTTACATTCTCTAATGAGTCCTACTGATACGAAAAATTTCGGATGAAAATTTAATTTCACGAAATTTCCTGAAATTACATAAGGTGTGGATATAAAAAAAAATTACCAAGATTTTCTAAAAAATAATTTAATTAAATTGTGAATAAGTCCTGAAAGTTTCATCAAAATTCGACAATTATTTTTATTTTTGCAAAATAATAACTTTTTCATCGGATCAAACGGCGCTAAAACACTTAAGACGACCGCTACTGAAAAAGATTTGTAACCAAAATTTCGAACGTGCTAGAAAGGATTCAAAAATTAATAAAATAAACTTTGTTTTTATTAAGTTTGGGGCCTTTTTTCATCATGTTGTGCTGTTTTTTTTTTCAGCGAAAAAAAGTCGAGGTACCTATCTAACTTAATAAACGCGTTATTTTCCTTCAGACTGAACAGAAAAAATATTTATTTTAAAAAATTACTTAACTTTTCAGTGCGATTTTGAAATTCATTCTGTTGTAGTTCGTTGGAGTTTTTTTTATTAAATAAAGCCATGTTTGAAGTTTCGAGTGTAAAGAGATTTAGTCGACCACCCAGTTAAATAGTTGACCAGCGATAGTTAATGAGTCGGCGAAAATCCCACTAATGAATTCCAGTCAGGAGCTGACTGAAAGATTTCCACGCATTCCATCTTAGACTTCTAACCAAAAGCAATTTTTTTTTGAAGAAAGACTTTGACTCACACCACCAAAACAAGTTTTAACAAATATCGCCTGAAGATACCAAAAAGCAGTTTATTGAAAAGCAACTTGATATCAAGATTCGCCTGGGAAAAGCAAAGTGTCACGAATCCATAAAAGAAGCAGGTTGGGAGAAAGACGCAGTCCTGTATTCAGAAAACAGATATAAAGATACTTGTTATTTTTTTCAACACATTTGAATCTTTTGAGTTTATTTCATTATTTTTTTTTATATATACACTTGTGCGGTATCACCTTTGCCCCGGATTCAGTTTGTACTACGGCCCGACGCCTGATTGATTTCGTCTACCTTAAGATCAAATCACAACGTGGGTAGGTTAGACTAGAAATCAAAGCAGTTACTTCGGTAACCAGACGTTGGAGTCGAGCTGGGAACGGCAAGGCTGATATCGAATCTAACCAGACATCGACCGCGACCAAGACAAAAAGAGGGGTTAGTGTCACACATGGTTCCGTGGTAAACCAGATTTCCATCCGAACCAGCCAAGGGTTAGATCGTCACAGATGGTGTTGCAGTCAACCCAGGATTAGAGGCGTCACAATTGGCGGTGTGACCAGGACTGACCGGTGACGTCACAATTGGCGCCGCGACCAGCACAGGACAGGATAGGACAAGACAGGGGCTCAGGGTGACGTCACATTAGCAGCAGATTATTTTTGTATGGATGCTCAAAAAGGGAGTTCTGAATTATCGCTTTTGAGTACTTTTACGTATCGAAAGCTAATTCAATAACATAAATTCAGATTTTTTTAAAAATACACTGGGTGCAAGAGATATTTTATAATATAAAAGTTACAAAATTAAAGAAAGCAATTTATTAAACACAAATATATAAAAAAAAACAAAAAAAACTAGTAATGTTAATGATAAATTATTTTAAAACAAATACCAATGTATTGACTATTTCATTGTCCTATATTTCTTTAATTTTTATTTTAAATTTTCACCTGCTTTTTAAGTTAGGATTGTGATTATGCCTTTTTTTTATTTTTGATCTATGACACCCCCTATAGGCCACAGTGCGTAAATAAACATTTATTTTCATAAAGTTTCAAGTAAAAAGTAAATATTACTTTTACAAGATTCAGTTAATTAATCCTTAAATTTGACAAATGAACATATCTCTAGGACAAATACTGCACTTTTAAGAGATGTTTAAATTTGTTGTTTACATTTTTCGTTTATAATGGCGATTAGAGGAGTCGATGAGTGAACGTGCCAAGGTTTTAAAGATCTTTAAAAAAGAAAAGACAAAGACATTTTTTAAACTACAATGTGTTTTCCATTTTTTTTTTTTTTTGCTTCATTTGATCCATTTTTGAAATGCTAACTAAAGATTAAACTTTCCAGGAACTTACTTGGTTCGTAACTGCAACTTTTCACCGCCTTCAATTATCGCTTTATCGTCAACATCATGCCATGATTTGCCTCCATTTCGGCTGTATTGAACAACCAACCCGGGAAATGCTGTATTTGTGACTAATCGACCATTCTTAATCCTGTAAAAGATAAAAGTTTATTAATAAGTAATAAGCCATTTACCGCCAAAATCGATCCTTTTTTTTAAATGAAAGCAAAATATCGCTACCCCTTGTTTTTTGGTGGTTTTTTTTTGCCAAAAATCAAGGAATTATTCGATTCAAACGAAATTTTCAGGCTTTATTCATTAAAGAAGGATTTGTATACCGAACATTATAAAACTCTGTTGAAATATTTTTAGTGTAGATTATTTTGTACAAAATCACTTAAAAAAAATAAAAAAGAGAAGGCTACCCTGAATTAGAACCCCGCCGAAAGAAAGAAGTTTGCTGTTCCATGCTATTATGACTAAAAAGTACCGAAATCAAAGAGTCTCCACGCATAACTTCCGCTAAATTGACCCAAATTATTTTGTTTTGCAGCGTTACTTTCTTTTTCATTCTTGTGAGTCAGTTCGTTTTATTCCAAAGTTTCCAGTAAATAAATACCATATTTGTGACACTCTCCACAGTTTCACCCACCTTTTCGATATCTCGTGTACTTTTTAATTTACGGGTCGTAAAGGCAATCATATTACGTGCGAATTAATTATGATATTGGGGGCTGGAAAGATATTTTTTAATTTCCGTTTTTCTTTTTACTATTTCAATTAGAATAATAATACTAACTACCACTGACTTTTCAGCAATGAAGCATTTAATACGCTTTAATTCATCAGAATAATCTCTATGGAAACAAGAAATAACGGATGATTCACTCATATGAAAACGTTGTAGTAGGATTAGGTACTAATAACACTATACGAAAATATACACTTTCCTCTTTACTGAGTGACAAAGAAATTTTTCTCTTCTATATATTTCCTTTCCTTTCCTTCCTTCTATAGGAACTATCCTCGGTAACGGACATGAACCCGGACTTAGTTTATGTGGGTGAGTGAACGTCATAAATAAATCAATCAATGACAACACGTCCCACCAAAAATCAGACGGGAAACACGGATGTGTCAACCCCAATAAAAAGAAGAAAACCACGCACGAGACCAGAGACGCAGCAGTGGAGAGGAACTTGATTCGTGATAGGAGTTCGAGACGCAAGCGTTGGTGATTCATCCACTGAGAGTTTGACCTGACGTATAACTCCAGAAGAGAAAGAAGAAGAAAGGATGAACGCAACGAATTAATTTCGGTCAATTAGAAGGAACACAACAACCCTGTATGAACTCTCAAATCATAAAAAAAGTACTATGATGATAGTCAACCATTTTAAACATTGTAACCAAATGGAGTTAACAATAAATGGTACTATAGACAGTAAATTTGGCCTTTACTTCATCTCTATATACCATAAGGTGTTCAACTTTTCGTCCTACTTCAGTTCTAGTTCGAAAAATGTTAATGATAAAAATAATTCAGAGAGGGAATCTAAAAGGACACTGAATTTTCTTTCTAACTTAATTGAGAAAATTACTTTTGGACGAGAAAATTTTCCCTCTAACTTGATCGGTGGTTGAGTTTTTTCTTTTTAAATCTTACAGGCTGCATATCACATATACACACTGAAACAAATGCACACATACATATGCAATTCACAGTTGATAATTTAATTCTGATTTTTTTTTATTCTATAGATATTATAAATATATAAAGACAATATTTACATGCCACCTGGCGGCGGAACTCTATAATCAACTTCAAATGAATCAAGTCGCTTCAACTCTTTGTAACCGATTGTATTGGCAAAGAGTTCCCAATCTTCGTTCAGACGTTTCTTTCGGATGGAATTTTCTTGTATATCTTCCCATGATGCATGATGCCAGGCTCTCTCTGCCAAAGCCAATAAGCGTGGGAAAAGCATGAAATCCAGTTGTTCCGGTTTTCTTACCGTTTCACTCCACAAATGCCCTTGAATACCTGGAAATAAAGGCATAACATTTGACAAAAAATATTTCAGATTCAGAGTCTAAAGAGGAAAGTAATTCAGATTATATCATCAGTATTAAATGTCAAGAGATTCCGAAAATAATCAACAAATCTACACTCACCAAATTTTATAACTGAATCATTTTCTTGGATTTTTGTATATTTCATATACAAAATCATAGAACTGTCTCAATATTCACACACGTATATATTTATGGGCGTATACACACAAATGTACAACCTGTTGATATGTCAAAAATTTTTATCACATTTTTTTCTAAATATTTTTCAGACTATTTTTACCTCTTTGCTCTTTTGAGCAACTGTTTAACCATTTAGTCTTGCTATGTTGAATCCGGTATTCGATAAAATAAATGAAAAATGTGTCACTCAACATTTTTCTCCTCATTTTAGACTAATGATGAAAAAAGTAACCAGAAACTAATTTTAGCAATTAAAGCCTCCTGTATCAAGAGTAAAATTGAAGTCCACTTAAAGAAACCTCGTCTCAGCAATGTAAACTCATTAACGCATATTACAAGGCAACCAAAAAAGTTCTGTCCGTTTTTTGATTAGTCATTGAATGAAGTTGAAATATATACGAAATGCGTGTAGCAATTGTTTTCAAATTCGGACAGCCGGAAGTAGGAACATCAGACGTTATAAAAAACACGCACACCGTGCCCGGCCATCAGTTATAAGGCGGACAGCTGTGAGAAGGTGGAAGTGTCTAGAGATCTCGTTCGGGGCTGTTTGCTTTACGACTTGGGCTTATCTGCAGCTGCATCAAGTCGCCGCATATGTCAAGCGTTTGGGGATAGTGCTGTGGATGAACGTACTGCAAGGTGTTGTTTTCGAAAATTCAAGTCGGGAGATTTGTCTCTCCATGACGAGTCTCGCAGTGGACGACCACAGGTCTTGAATGACGGAGTTCTGAAGGCGGCCATTGAAGAGGTGTGGTGAAACTTTGGAATAAAGACAGTTCAACGTTTCCGATGAAACAGTTAGACTTCACCTGCACCGCCTACGTAAGACGTACAAACTGAGCAAGTGGGTTCCGCAAACGCTGTTGGAGGTTCACAAGTGACAACGAGTGGCAGCCTGCGTATCGCTGCTTTCTCGCTACCGTACCGCATTCAATTGAGTGCTTACCAGTGATGAAAAGTGGGTTCTGTACGAAACTCCCAAGCATTCCAGACATTGGTTGTCTCCCTCAGGATGCTGTCCTCACACCGCAAGACCGCCTATGCACCCACGCAAGATTATGCGTTTGTGTCTGGTGGACAGGTCGTCAAGTGGTTCATTATGAACTGTTACCAACGGGCCAAACGGTCACTGGAGACCTATACTCGCAGCAATTGAAACGTGTGCAACAGGCATTGCGCCAGAAGGATCCTGCACTGTTGAATCGCAAAGGTGTGCTTTTGCTCCATGACTACGCCAGGCCGCATGTCGCGCGAGTGGTCAGGGATACCATACAGCAACTTGGGTGGGAGACTTTGTGCCATTCACCTGACCTTGCGCCATCCGATTACCACCTCTTCCACTCCCTGGATAATCATCTTCGTGGAAAATCCTTCACCAATGAAGCAGACTTGCGCAAAGCCCTCACGGACTTCTTTGCGTTAAAACCCCTGAGTTCTACCGCAAGGGCATTGAACAGCTGGAGACACGTTGGCAGAAGGTGCTGGATGCCGATGGCGATTACTTCGAAGACCAAATATAAGTTACACATAACTGTCTTCTTTTTTTTTTCCTTTAAAAACGGACAGAACTTTTTTGGTTACCTTGTATTAGATCATTGAAAAACTTCGTACACGATTTGAAAATTATAAAACATTTACATACTCACAAAAATGCATTTATTGTCAGTGTTCATTGCTTAAACAATTGTTTCCCATCGTTCTAAAAGCATGTTGATGTCATTTTCGTAAAAATTTCGTGTTTTTGTTGGAAAAAGGGTGTGAGTTTTCAATTGACTGTACAGAGTTAAACATTTTGTCATTTAAATTGTTCTGTAGAGATGGGGACAAATGAAAATCCAAAAGAGCCAAGTCAGGAGTATATGGAGAGTGGTGGAGAGTTGGGTCCTATTTCAAATCTTAGCTTCTGCAAGGTCTGTTTTGCAACATGCGGTCTTGTGTTGTCGTGGTGAAAAATGATAGTTCTGAACAACTGCATTGAGATAGGCGAGTTGGTCGCAATACTTCTTTGCAGTTACTACTTCACCGGCTGGAAGAAGCTCAAAGTGAATTATCCTTTTGCAATCCCACGAAACGGACAGCAACACCTTTATTGGATGCAAGCCTGCATTAGCTACGGCTTTTGTACGTTCACAAGTTTGTTTCCAGCTCCGTTTGCATCGAATATTTTCATAAATGATCCTTTTTTTCATCGCTTGTAAGAATTCTATCAAAGAGCGGCTAATTTTCGTGGTATAACAGCAAAGAAATCGCCGCAGCAACATGATCGAGCTTATTCTGTTTCGTCAGAGAATATAGCACCCATGTATCGAGTTTGAAAACTAACTAAAGTCTCTTTAAAAGGCAAAAGGTAGTTGAGATATCCATTTTTAAACTTTATGCAATCTCTTCCGTCGAAATTTTGCGTTTATTATTCACGCTGGCAAGTAGAGCGTCTTCATCTACGTTGGAATGTCTCCCGGGGGCGTCGTTGATCGTTTAGGTCAAAATCACCCTGACAAAATCTGTCAAATAACTTTTTGACCGTCTGTACAGCTGAAGCACGATCCAAATAAACCTTCTGGATGTTTTTTGTCACAGTTCCGACGCTTAAACCTTTTCGTAATTTATAGAACATAATATGGTGAAAGTGTATCTTTAGGCAATCATTTGTGGGCAAAACATCAAGATTCAATAAAATCTGAACGATATAAGTTTTCATTCTAGAACGCACTAGACACCAGCATCAAAATTGACTCTAGACAATTGCGGTCATTTTATATTAACAATGAAAATCGAGTACGAATCTCTGCAATGGTTTGATATAACAGAAAGTCAACAAGAAGATAGATTCTTAATAAAAGTAAATAATGCTCTTCCAGTCTCTCTTATTAACACTACTAAAACAAACCTTAATATTCAATCATTTAGGACTGTAGTTTTAGTTGAGGGAATTAAAAGAAGCAATACAGTAAAAAAAAGTTAAAAAAAAAGTATGCATCAATTCGTAAGAACCTAAGAAAATCAAAGTACATATTAACCGAAAGACAAAGAAAGATTATTATTATCAGTGAAGCAAAATTAAATGTAGAAGCCTTCTCCTTACCGACAATGTTTTCTGGCTTTTCCAGCTTCACACAGTTTTTTGCATCTTTGCCACACACTTGTTCTTCTGTGAGAGGCTGGCCAGACCTTGCTACATCCGCATTATTATAAAGGTTTTCAGGCATAAAACCAAAAGTTTTACGTGTATCTGTGAAACGCGGTGCCCAGTAATAACCTCGCTCCTCTGGGTCAGGTTCGTAGGGGTGGTCAAAATATAAATGTGTTGCTTGCGACATCACAACCTGCACAATTTTACAAACATTTAGCATAAGTAAATAATTAACTCTATTATTTTGTTGAAGCATAAGAGAAAATAAAGCATTTCCATGAGGTCAAATTTGAATTTATATTTGTGTGATACAATAATAGTCTTCGTAAAGAAAAATGAAACAAGGTAAAAATCAAAGTTTGAGAAATAGAATAATTGGCACAGGGGAGGTGGAGGATTCGAACCTTTAATTAACCCAGGTTAGTATTGTCAATATAATTTTGTAAACCCCAGTAGTGTCCATCAAGCGTTTCAGGGGAAAATGTGATTGATTAAAAAAATGATGAACTCAAATTTGGTACCGGAGTTTTAAGAGAAACTGAAAGAATAAGACTCGAGGTTTTAAGATAATGTTTTGATTTCGTAGTATATTGCAGTGTTGGGTGAAATTATTCCTATTGAGAAATGTTGATTATTATTTCCAGTTGAAATATATTTTTAGTCAAAATCAATTCGGAATGTCAACAACGAAAGCGACATACTTTCGGCGCAAACCACCTGCCGACAATGTGATTAACCTCTCCTCGTTGTCTCCTACGTTGGGTTTAATAGCAGGACCCATTGAAATGCAAGCAAATGAAAAAAAGAAAAAAGAAAAAAAAAAAAAAAGAAAGAATTAACAAAAGAGAAGAAAAGAGAATTAAGCGATCGTGGTGCAAGTGGTGGCGACGGTGGTGGTGGTGTTAGTGGTTTTTGTAATGAAAACGTTTACACAAATTATACAACTTACTTTGTAACCAGCATTTGCCAGTTTATAGGCTCGATTTGACTGTCCCCATTCCCAGATGTTGTCCCAAGCATAAGCATAAACATTTTTATTTTGTAAAGCTTCGCGTTTGAAAGGCTTCGATCCAGATTCCATGACGCCATCTTCCCAGGCCGCCAAATCCAGATTGTAATTAAAAGTGATGTTAGAAATTTGATGAACAAAGTATTCTTTTAAAATTTTTTTTTCAATAATCTGAAAAGGACATAAAAATAGTAATCGACAAACACATAAAAGATGCGAATAAGTAAAATCATTTATTATAGCGAGAAATTAATAAATAAATGGCAACATTATCAAACCAAACGGATCCCGGATGAAGTAATCAAAATTTGTCCGTAAAATAATAAATATAATTTTCATTCAATCAAATGCGCTACTGAAAATCTATTTTTGAACTTTTCTCTTAGGCCTAAACCTTGTCGGAGTCATCTCCTCCTTAATTATCCAAATTGGTCACTAGGGGACGCTCTCCCTACACTACTGGGCGATTTCTTGCCTCGTTCTCTTTTTCATTTTCAGCGAACACAATATAAGCTCTCTCCATTTGTGGGAGACGCCATGAACATTATACACATATACACGTACGTAAGAACATTCACCAAAATGCAAACTCTTTACGTTCACGCACAAACACAAATGTTAATGTCTATGTCCATTGTAAATTTTGTTGTTCAATACATATACTTGTTTGTATCTACATATCGGTTTTGTTGGTTTTCTTTACACTTCTTTATGGTGGATTCAATCTCTGAGTCCTCCATGTTCTTGTAGTGGACCTTTTTTCTAGCAGTAATAAAAGCACGTGTTCATAATTTAACAACACATAAACCCACGGTCCGCTACAACCTAAACAGACCAGTAGCTTTTCGCCAAAAACACACAATCTGATCAACTACGTCAACGTCAATATCATGACACTTTCACAAATTATTGCTTTATTATTCAAATGTTTGAACAAAGATATTTCATTATTTAACTTCATTTATACTGAATTATGTACAGAAGAAAATGCCTAGTAGGTAATTTCTTTTATAAAAGTTAATAGTTTTTCCTATATTATTTCCAATTGCTTGAAACTTAAATGTTGTTAAATAACTTAGACATTCTTTATACTTGCCGTTCATCAACAGTCAACATCAAATTCATTGCTGGCGGAAATAGTAATAGTATTATTAGCCGTTTCCCTATAAGGAATATTTTAAAAATTATTGATCAAACATCTGGTGCCACCTTCGGTTCAAATTTATAAAATCTTTCTCTTAAAACAATTTTTCAGTAAATAGATTTCCCAATAATGGTTACTGTTATTGCTCTTTCCAGTATTTGTGGGCGCTTCCTTCCTTGCCTTTTGTTTGAAGTAGTGTGGAAAGTCAACATCTTACGTCATTTTCTCTTCATGTTGTATGTGTTATTGATTTTAGTTGTTGCTGTTAAAGATCCTCAAATGATATGGTTTCTGTTAAATAACATACACGTCCGTTGTGATTCTGTAGCGCCAGTCCGAAGAATTCAGAAGAATATTCGAAGAATGATCCTCACTAAGACCTACAGGCTTCATTCACTCAAAACCATTGTTAACCATTGATCTGAGAAAATGGTTGTATACAGCTGACAGTTGATATATTTTTGAGCGAATTTGACGCCATACATGCATATTAAAATCTCGATCTGATGAGGCCATGTACGAATATGACCCGAGTTTTTAGGTAATGTTTTGGTTTGGTAGCATCTTATATTGTTGAGCGGATTAACTCCTAGCGCAACATAATCTATGTTCAATTTCCCTTTCTCCTATACTAAATTTGTTAAAACTGATACATACGCCGAAGTATTTGAAGTGTTTAGTATTTACTAATTCTACATCCTGGAATTTTATGACGGCTTTCATCCCAGTTTCACACTAGACAGAAAAGTTCACCACAAATGAGGATATACCAAATTCTTATTTTCTTTGGCATAAATTAAAATCGTATGATCTTATGTAATGTTTGCGAAGTAAATATATATCCTTGTAGGTTCTGTTACAAAGCTTCTGTATTCAATATTAACTATCAAGGAAAAAACTGGCACGAAAAAATATTTTTCATAAATATATCTGTTTACAGTTTTTAAAAAATTTAATAACAGGAAAATTTAACGCATGATATCACCACAGATTTCAAATCTATAACAATATTAACTAAAATAAATGTTTATTTCATTTGTGATTAAATTTATTTATTAAAGGATTCTTTTAGGGATGATGAAATAAATCTCGACCTCTAAATTCTGATGTTTATTTGATCAGATTTGGAGAGTGGATTTGAACTGAGAACTTTTCAGAACTTACTCAAAGAAGGCTTTAATGGAATGTATTGTTTTAATATTCCTTTAAATTCATATTTAATTGTATCTCATCTATGCAAATATTATTCATCTCTCTATTTTTATATATTCATTTGAATTTATATAATCCAGAATCGGTTTTTCTTTGTGAGTTTGAGTCAAACGTCTTACCTGCCATTTGTTTTTCATTAAGTCTTCGCAAGCAGTAGAGTTTTCCCAGGCGCCAGATGCTACTTCATCTCCACCAAAATGATAAATCTTTAAAGGCATGACATCCTTGTGGTATGTAACTAAAGATTCGATCACTTTGCGGATGAAGGCGTAACTGGATGATATGCATGGGTTAATAGCATTGTCTGTGTACATTTGAATCGATTTGTATTTAGAAGTGTCGTTGTGATCAATCAGGAGGAATTGATTGTTCATCATTTTCTTAGAACGAGCTTCCATGGCTAAATAAAAGGAATAAAAATTGTGAACAGTCTCATTCATAATTATCCTTTACTGAATTTGATATATTGTATAATAAAGTCTAACGTCACAGCATCCAGAATTACATCTGGTTCGCAATTTTCCAAATTACAGCCCATTGCATAAGTTTGTGTCACTTCAATAACAGTACTAATGTCAAAATATTCTTAATGTCTTGTTATATTCAAGACCAAGAGACCATTGTTTTATTTACTCGTCGAGTGGATATTTGTAAAACACTTCCATAAAATCTACTGTATGTACGTTTTTTTTAGCATATATCCAGTAGATTAAATTATGCGATGAGTAGCGGGTTTATTTAGGAAATCGGGACTATCAGTAAATGCTGAATCGTGGAGATTCCGTAGAGAAACCATTATTAGTGTTTGGTTGAATTCCAAGGCTATCGTCCACTTTGAAATAATACTAGATGGTCGAGCCATTAACACAGACCTCAGCTGTGAATAGATTGACTATTGCCCTACTTTAAAGAACAGAGGAAGTACTTTCATGCAAAATGATAACGCGCGACCTGATGCTTCTAGGATGACTCACTATAAGTCTGAATCTATTGAAGGCATTCCCACCGGCCATAGAGTTCCAATCTTGCTTTTTGGACTCTCATACGTCCCGGTCTGTTAGCCTTATTTTTTTTCACAGAACTTTGTAAATGTTGAAAAGAACAGAAATTCTACAGTAAATTCGCCAAGACGGCAAATAAATGGAAAAAAAAATGAAAGGATGGCAGCAAAAGACATTCGGGATTGTATTTTGATTTTTAACATGTTTATTTTATTTAATTGTACAATAGACTCAGTTAAAAGAAGGAAAGTAAAAAACTTTTTAGTGACTTTATAATGAAATTTGTCTTATAAAACTTTGTCTTAGATTTTAATTTTGAAATTAATACAATTCGTCTACTGTACACCTATGTCTAGAAATTCCTTGAATGTTTAATCATTTTTTCCTTAAAATGGACTGTATTGTGTGAATTAATGGAAGAGTGACCACTACTTACCCTTGATAACGGCATGTCCATGTCCCGGCATATCAATTTCTGGAATCACTTCAATATGGCGCTGATTAGCATAGCGCAAAATCTCTTGATATTGTTTCTTTGAGTAATAACCAGAACCACTGCCTACAATTGTTGGTCCCGATCCCAGTTGAGACATAATACACCGTTCTTCAGAAGGATCATGGCAGCGTTGACCTCCGATCTAAAAGGACATGTCTAGAACCATTGTCATCAAAATAAGTAAATATTCTGTTGAAAAAATTCGAATAAAAATTAGAAAGCATTTATGAGGGAGCAAATCATGAAACTAATATTTTACGATAGCTTGAAGGTTAAATTCTGTTTGGAGGACATATGATATACTTAAATTGAAATGAGAAAGAAAAATTTCATCAATTAAGATTTTATTGTGTAACTGCAAAACAGGAGCAAAAAGCCAATATTCTGCATTAATAAGGAATTAATATGATAAATTTATCAAAAGTATTTAACTATCAGAAGTAATTGAAAAAAACTCCATCAAATTCCTTGTAAGCTCTGAAAGAGCAAGAACGAGATAGGATTGATATACTTAATATGTGTGTATGTGTGTTATTATTATTATTATTGTGTGTGTTATTATTATTGCCACACGCACCCTCACGCACATGCGTGAGGGTGCGTGTGTCAATAATTTTGGAAAGAGATTGTCTGACAACTGATTTAAAAAACACAATTTCGAATATGGCCTACACCACGCAGTTATGATGAATTTCATACACTGATGGGATTCAAATAAAAAAAAGCGAAAACTTTATACAGCACCAAGATTCCAACTTGTGTACCCCAATTAACAACTTAATGGAGCGATATTTCCTTACCTCTGTAAGTTCTTGTAATCCTTGTATTTCAATTCTCCAACCTTCATCGTCTGTCAAATGGAAATGGAATTTATTCAGCTTGTACATCGCCATCAAATCTAGAAGTTTGAAAATCGTTTTCTGTTCAAAGAAATTTCTTGCCACATCCAATTCCATTCCTCTATATGGGTACCTTGGTGCGTCAGATATGTTGGCCTTGGGAACATTACCTTCCTCATCAATTAAAGCGAACAATGTCTGTATACCATAAAAAACACCTGCCGCGTCTACTCCGAGTATTTTAATGAACTCCGCTTCAGGATCTATTTCCAGGGAGTAACCTTCTGGGATAATCTTCTCTGAACCATTCACTTTCACTCGAACTTCCTCGATTGCCAATTTGATATATCGATGCAATGGTTGGGTTATCGATCTAAGTATATTAAGTTTATCTATGTACAAAAAAAGAAAATATTCTTTAACAGGCAAGGAATATAGAAGTCAGCCGAAAAGTTGCCTACCTCTTAGAAAATATTTCATTTTACATGAAACGTTATATTTTCTTAAAGAATAAACTTTAAGAAGCAATTTTAAGAGAATAAGCAACATTATTTTGAAAATTTAATTATGGCTGAGCGTTTTAATTATTGACTTTACAAGTAAATAAATTTCTCTGTGTTAACTTCAATAATTTACGATGAGTTTGAGAAATCTGATAATTAGTAGATTCTTTATTTATTTGTGTGTAGAAATACTGAAAATAATGATGGCATGATTAATTATAAAATATAATTTTGGTCCATTCATTTTAATTTTGAGAATTTTACGGCTCCTAACAAAAGTAGCTCTAAAAATAGCTTACCTATGAGATACAGTCCTTCATTAGACAGGCGTTCAGGATAGATGACAACCCAGTCACGAGTGTTTAAGAGTATTTTCTGTTTGTCAATTATGTGTATTTCTAGTGGAGTCGGAACCACGTGACCGGGAGATTTGCCATGATCTTTAATATTATTCAGGACAAACCGATAGCGCGTTGTATAGGGATCATAGAGGTCATGTACTTTATATTTGCCATCCTGGAAGTAATATCGCTTCCATTTCTTCACTTCGTCAAAATCCCCAGCAAAACTGAGGCTTTCGCCGGCTGTATTCATAATCGTTCTTGGGTGGAGATGTTGACTTGTGATGTACCTGAATATATGACAAACGTTATGACAATATAGGTAAGATTATACTTTTAAAACGAAACGATTCGTCTATAAGAACATTGTTATCACTGGTTTTTGTGAAATAGCAGCTACCATTGCATTTTCAGATTACTGCTTCTACAGAATTCCCTTAATGAAAAAATCATCTAGAAAGTTTGGAGAAGATGGAATTATGAAGTTACTTGAAGCATAGATGTATAAAGTAACAGTAAAACAATTTTTCAATAAAGCTAATGTTGAAAAACTATTTTTTTTTATTAATAAACCGATCTATCTGTATACTGATGAACTGAAATATTACCACACCCGTGTTGATCTTGTATGTGTTCGCTAAACAACTCTTAATAGACGGTGCAATGGGTAAATTGCCGCTATTTTATATTTTTAATTTCGCGCATGTGCGTTGTTTGTTTTTGATTTTGTCGACTGCACAGTATATACGGCCAGTTGGGAACTGTTTGAGACAAAGAGCACCATAACGCAATTCACTCCACCGGAAACGGTATGCTGTACTGCTTGGCATTCGCGCAGGAAGCTCCAATACGAATATTTCAGAGTGTTGAGTGTTTGGATGTCAATCTGAGGACAGTGCAGAGGATTCGGAAAGAGTTGGTGATTACAAAGGTACAACAGCTGGAAAAATCACTCTGATCGTTCTGATAAGAAAAGAACACCCGAATTCGTCGGTAAGAGCCCCAGACTCACCACGAAGGCCAATACCAATTGCCTTGAGGAAGTAGTGCTGCCCTGGGGTGGCTACTGGAAGACCCTATGTTCAGCAAGTGTACTCTGCCCCATGCCACACAAGCAGTAGAACTCAGTCATGACAATTTCTGCGACCACATCACTCTTAATCATCTAGCCACCTAACTCCCCAGACTGTACCCGAGTTGATTATTATGTGTGGGGCGCATTTGAGCGAGAGACCAACAAAACTCCTTGTAACACCAAAGATTATGATAAGGCAAAGATTATGGCAGTCTTCACTAACATGAAGACCGTCCAGAAAAGATGCAGCACTTTCCGAAGTCGTCTGGAGACCGTGATTGAAGCCAATGGTGGTTTTATTGAATAAATTTACTCTTTAGTATTTCAAGATATTTTTGTGAAATTTTATTTCAGGAAATCATTTCCGTATAACTAGTGCAGCGTGGCAGGATGCTTTGTCCTACTGAAATATTCCACTAGAAGACTAGTTTTCAATGTGTTAAGAAAAATATCTTCTACATAAATGATAGTACCTAGTGTTGCTCAAAATCGTTACACTGCTTTTATACACTGTGTCCGAGTGTTATCGCTTCCCTAGGATAATGATCAATACGTAACTTACTGTCTACGTTAATCAAGAGAAAGCAACATTCATTGGAGTAGGTAGTCTTCTAACATTGATACAAAGTTTTTTTTCCAAAATTCGCATAATTATTGAACACATTTTCAACAATGAACTTTGATTAACATAAGTATACTGATTATCTACTTCATCTTGATGAAATATATCTGCAATGTGTGCTGTAGTAGACTTTCTGTTGGATCATACATAATGGGAAAACCTCTGTTCACACTTAACAATTAGCTGCCTCGTACCTTGTCGGTGACTGATGATTTCCTTCTTCAGACCACCGCTGATAGTTATTCCCTGCCATTGGACATGAGCACCCAAATAAGTTGCATTGTTTCAGATTTTATCTGACCTAGTCTTCTGGTCATATAATTTTACCTTTACCAAAGTCGTTCAAATCTTTGTTTTTGCTCAAAACTGCATCATTCAACACATCAAACTTAACTACTTGAGACCGGCTCATTTGATTATATATTTTTATTTGTATCTAGACAGTAGCTCTCATTCTTGCCGCACACAGCTGTTCACCAGTATATATTCTTTGGCCTGGACCCTACCGACCCATCCCCCTTTTCACCCAGTGTTTGGCCAAGCAAAGCCGAGATCCATTTGAGGGCAGCCATTTTTTCTCCAAACTCACCATTGAAAATAAGTTCGTCTACAGTGTCCATAAAAAAAGTCAGTTACAGATTGGAACGAAACATTTGTAAAGTTTGTGCCATTCTGTTGTTGTAGATGTTTAAATGTCTGTGCCATTTTTTTAATTCTTTTTATTTTTCCATTTTTTCTGTTTGTTGGTTCAGACTGATGTTTTCATCTACACTTCATTGTGACGTGTATTTTTTCACCCCACTGCCCATAATGATCAAAATTCTTACTTCAGTCACCTCCAATTTGTTTTAGAATGTTGCTTATCAATGCTGAAAAATTGACGCGACAAAAGAGCATTAAGATTTACCATCCCATTTTTTAGTTGGTAGTATACAGCAGAACTTATACTAAGTCATAACTTAATTTTAATTCTTTCGTATTTTACATGATTTTTTCCCACAGGTTAATAGGAGTAGATTGGCTAACCTATCATCCAGTTCGCACTCATTCCATGTCTATTGAACAGGAGTAGGTTCATCCCTTGTTCTCTGATCAGGATATGGTTTACTCGTTCTGTCTTTCTTCTACCAGGACCACAATGATTTAATTGTCTCTACATTTTGATGATCGGACTACCCAGTGGCTGTGACTTTTCATTGTGAGTGTACCGGATTGGCAGTTTGCTGGCTGCTGCTTCCGACCAGTCGCTGGGAGCCCGAAATCGTTGGTAGCGCTTAGAAAGGCTGCTCCGATCAAAAGTCGCATAATATCGGGGTATCTGTAGTGCCATGTCGCGCATGGGTAGGTGTCTATGCATGTATTTCCGGTGGGTAACCCTGAAGCCACATTATGCTCTGCTCTCAGCCACACGCTGGCTTATCTGTATTGCCATTGGCAATTATGGTGGTCTTTTTTTCTCTCTCCTCAAAAAATATCTCATGGAAATCGCAACAAGAAGAAATAAAACTAAACCAGCTAAGAGAAAACAACAACAACAACGACAACAACAACAACAAATCAGCTACCCTCCTCAATTTTTCTTCCTCTGATATTTGTGGTATCTGTTCCAACTTCTGCAGCGTAGAAATTTTCTTCTGGAACGGTATCTTTGCCCTCTGTGAAACCAACTTGAATTTTTCCATTGCTACCGATGAATTCTTGGTTCCAGGGTATCTTCCCCTTTACCAAAAAGATTCCAGCATTCACATGCAAGGCCTTGTTGTTTACACCCGGGATAATTTTCTGATGGTCAGGGAATTGTCACTCGAGGCCGATGACTACTCTTTTATGTTCTTCTGTCTTTCGCTACTAAACTATCAGCTACCTTTTTTTTCGTTTATCACTCCTCCTCTTCCGAGGACTGCAGTATATTAGACGCAATAGCTGACAGTATAGAAAAGTTACTTTCTCTCCATCCGTCTGCGAACATCTTTAACGCTCCCCAGGACATTTGGCGGACACATTCTAAAAGGTATATAGACATTAATTTTTTTCCATTGTCCAATCCCTCACTCAAATCGTGGATTCCATACTCATTTCCCTAGCCAAACCGAGCAACAGGCTTCTCTACCAGATCTATTTCTTACCTTCTCCTCTCGCTCTTGCCGAGTTTTGCAATACTACCCTCTTGGTAACTCGGACCACTCTGATGATATCTCCTTTCAAGCATCCATTAAACAGGAACCCTTTATCCATAAGATTTCTTTCCGTTACCAGCACGCTGATTGGGACTCATTCCGGAATTTTCTTCGTGAATGACATCTTCAAACTTCCAACTGAAAATTGCGCCACTGAGGTTTCTTCTTGGGTCAAAGCCAGCATGTACGCTTTCATCCCTTCTCGGAAATGCCAGGTAAAACCGCAATCCTCTCCATGGTCCACACCAGCATGCTCAGCCGCCATAGCACACAGGAACCACTATTTCTGGCTATACCAGCGTGACAGGTACCGTCAAAAGTGTTTGTAAGAAATGTAAGCGAGTCCTTGAAGGAGCTAAGTCCCTGTTTGCTGAGATAATGAGGCCCCGCATAGCCTCTAAAAACTTTGGCTCTCGTGACTACTGAAGTCTCTGTAATAGGATATTAAATAAGGGCAAGGTTTCTATTTACCCCCGCCCCCTGTTCAATCGATTTGAGGTGTTTTCATCCTCTGCTGATAAAGCTTTGCCCGTAAATTCTCCTCAAACTGTACTCTTGACTCATCTGGAATATCCCTGCCAGACTTCCCACTTAGAATACATTCTCTGCTCAGTGATATGCATGTAACCTCTTTCATGGTTTCTGCTATCATCTTTAACTTTGATCTCCACAAATTATGTGGACCCTATGGTATCCCTGTAATAAGGAGTGTGTTCCCGAACTAGCTCCTGTTCTTTCTAAACTGAAATGCCTCGCTGTCTCCTGCTTTCCTGCCTGCTGGAAGTCATCGTCCATTGTTCCAGTTTTTAAGAACATCGTGTGAACCCTGCCGACACATCTAACTATCGTCCTATTAGTTTTCTAGCTCTTTTTGGGAAACTCCTAGTGGCCCTAGTCAATGCTGAATTGCTTCATCATCTCTCATTGTAGAGCCTTTTCTCAGACAAGCAATACGGCTTTCGTTTCTCCAGGTCAACTGCTGATGTACTAACGATAATTGCGGAAAGAGTTTATCGTGCTCCTGATAAAAGCTGTGAAGCCAGGGCTCTAGCATTATCAATCTCGAAAGCCTTTGACAGTTATGGTACCTCTGTGCACGTTTTTTGAACTGATCCAGTCGTTCCTATCAATTCGTGAAATGAAAGTTGTCTTGAGCGGACACTCATCTACATCCTTTCGTACTAACGCGGATGTACCTCAGGGCTCTATCCTTGGACCTACGCTGTTTTTAATCTTCATTAACGACCTTTCCGATGATATCAGCTCTCAATTTGGCATCTACGTTGACGACACTACAAATGACTCCTGCTTCAGTAGTAAGGTTGATCAGCCCGACAAGATCAAATTGATGAACAAAAGGGCCTAAACTGGGGCAAAAGATTGCTTGTTAATTTTAACGCTTCCAAAACTAAAATTCTCTGTTAATCATCTGAGAGACCCATCTTTGCCTTCCATCATTATGGCTGATGCTATCCTCCAGGAAAGTGACTTATTGCTGACATGAACTGGAAAGACTACATTGAATTCATTGCTAAGTCAGCTGTTAAGTCAGTTCACTGTGTCGGGCGAAACAATTCTTCTCTCCTGAATCTATCTTCCATAAGTCTACCATTTCCCCATGCTTAGGATATTGCTGCCGTATATGGTCATGTGCCCCTGGAGCTCCTTGATAAGATCCAAAGCAATATTATTGATGCTGATTTGGCAGCTCGGCTTTAGTCATTTGCCCACCACCCTAAGGTTGCCTCTCTGTGCCTTTTTTTTTAAAATAAATACTTTCATGGTTACTGTTCGGATGAGCTCTTCGCTGTGACTGTATGAATTTAAGCGCAGTACTAGACTGGCGGCGAGATCTCATCAATTTACAGTTGAGTTGGCTAGATGTCGCCGTAACTTCTATGCTTAACAGTTTCTCCTTTCGCACTTCTCACTTGTGGAACTCTCTTCCGGTTCCATGCTTTCCAGCCAACTTTAATCTAGAAAAAATTAAATGCAATGTCAATCTACTATCCTCCTGATTAGACTTTTCTCTTTCCACTCAATACTATTTTTTTGTTCCAAATTACTTCACACCCTGTAACGCCTTGCGTGTTAGTGGATCTACTGCCTTGCTTTGGGTGACACCGATTATATATGTGTGTGTGGGGCTGTGTATTGGTATTGGCAATTACTGATTCACGTAAGTAAAAGTTTAATCAAACAATTGATTTTCTTTGAAGATGTACTGAAAAAGCGTTATTCATCAACTGAAAGCAATTTTATTCATTTTTTACGTCAACTGGTGATATATTATCAAACATTGCTGATTTATTTCTATAACATTAAAAATTATCTAATAGTTTTGACATCATATATATATATATATATATATAGTCTGGCCGTCATACCTCTTTCTCTCTCTCTCTCTCTCTCTCTATATATATATATATATATATATATATATATATATCGTAAGGCGGTGTACATTGATGCACGGGGCAGCTTGATACTGGACGCATATTTCAAAAACTCTAGCGCCCATTAGTTTGCAAATGGCACCAGCGCATGTGTGTGTATGCCTTCCTGTTTATAAGTCAAAGCTCAACGAATCGAGGAAGTTTGAACCAAATTTGTAAAAAATCAGCGATTTTTGCGCGGTAACCAGTGATATGTAAACTTAGAATGAAACTACTGAAATTGAAGAGGGCCAAGCCTGCACCCAAATTGCAATACGACAGACTCTTGAACGACCCGAAGGAGAAATACATGGGCAGTGTGAAAAATACATACAAAAGAAAAATGAAAATGGAAACTCAAAGCGGGATACATTAAGAGAAGCTTTAATAACATCAGAAATTGAGATTATTCCAAAGGAAAATAGAGTAAGGAAAAAACCCAAAATGGATAACGATGCCAAGACACGGAACAAAATATAGGACCTTACACAAAGAAATCAGAAACAAATGCAGGTAGGATAAAGAGGGTTGCCTCGACGAAAATGTGCAGAAATAGAAAGAATGTATATCACAAATAAAGCAGATATGCATAAAAAAAAATAAGAGAATTAACAGGACAGAAGCACAGGATGCACAAAATCCAAAGACGGAACGCTGATATTAGAGAAAGAAAAATGCTTCAGAGATGGAACTAATATATCTGAGAACTCTTCCACGATGAAAGAGAACAACCGGCAATACACAGAAATATCCAAGAACCGGAAGCATTAAAATCTGAAGTGAAATAGGCGATTTCAGCATAGACAAGATTACAAAAATAATAAATGAAATCTACATCATTTGTGATATTTGGGAAGAGCTAAGCAGATCTATTTTCATAGCACGGCCTAAGAAGCTAGATGCAAACGAATGTGAATTCCATCGGACAATCAGCCATATAATAAAACGTATCATCCGAATTCTGATGAATAGAGCGTGCAGCAGAAACAAACCAAAATTATGACAAGAACTGTGCGGGTTCATCAAAGACACTGAAATAATAAATGCATTATTTATGCTCAGAATATTATCAGAAAGAGCAATAAGAATGTAGAAGGATGTGTATCTGTGTTTTATAGACTACACAAAGGCGTTCGACAAAGTACGCCACAAAGATCTGTTAGAGCTGCTCAGCAATTATGTATAAACATAAAAATATATATAAACAATTATATATAAACATAAAAATTGTCTTAAAAATAATTGTCGGACTTTGTCCATTTCATAATGTGTGACGTCATTTGTTTACATTTGGATACGCATTGAGCAGATATGAATGTACGTGAGAGAATCATGGAAGATTGTAGTTTAAATACAGTAAAACCGACCTTGCTAACCGAGCACTACTCTGTGGCGAAATCGGTAAAAGCCCATCAGGCTATATGACGTTTCCGTATAGGATATAGGTTCGATTCCTGTCGAAGGACGGATATTTTCTATGACAATTTCTCGGACATTCAGGCCGGTAAATGTTAATACTGTTTATTAAAAACAGAGCATTTACTTGAATATTTGTATGTATAAACATAAAAATGTCTTTTTTATATATATATTACATGGATCATTCATACAAAAACAGATATAGAAGTTAATGATTTAAATCATTAACTTCTATATCTGTTTTTGTATGAATGATTCATGTAATGTAAATTGAACTGCACCACATACTTGATATATATATATATATATATATATATATATATATATATATATATATATATATATATATTGTCTTACTATTCAATAGTCTTACTATGTGTATAATTGTGATAAAAAGAAATGGTTTTTGCTCTTACCAGTTTGGCATAATGTCAGTCTTAGATACAATCCAATTTTCGCCGAGGAATCGAATTTTTTTTGAACCACCTGGAATGATTGTCTTGAAGGAATTAGTAGGTTCCAAAGTGAACATACAACCCTGAATGTGAGTAATCTTCACATCGTCTCGGATTATACCTTTTGGGTCAGGTAGGTGCTCAGGTTCAATCATACGAATGTGGCAAAAGTAAATGATCCAGGGATCTCCCTTGATAATACTTGACCCACGATTAGTAAGCGTTATTTGAGCTTCAAATGTACGCAGTTCATCGCGCAAGTTGTCCAACACTTCATAGCTCACTTCCATGTAGGTTGCCATGTAA